GAGCTTTGGGATATTAAAAAATAGTGGAAGTTGACGTGTGGTCAGTCAGTTCTGCTGTGAAGACATGAGGCAAACTGTCACAGAGCGCATTAGAGACCAGACAGCATGTAACAGTTTATGATGTCTGTTGCTAAAATTGGGTTTAACTTAAGCAGAAGTGTCTCTGTTGCCTTCTTTTTGGAACCCCGTGACAAATTTTTAAAGGGAGTGATACTTCTATACATATCAGATGATTGTGCATTTGCACAAGTTTGTAAAACTTACTCACTCCCAACTCATCCCATACTCAATGGTTTTACCCCTTGAAAGACTGCTGGGAGTAACCTTTTGAAGCGCTTTTCTGTACAGAGTGGTTTCTGTCATATTTCAGGCTTGCTTATAGACCAAAATGACTGGGTATGGATCAGAAGTGGGTGAGGGTGGTCTCTGCCTATGCAGCTACCCTTGGGAATACCCAGAAATGGTTCTAATGGTCTTCAAACCACGTCTTTGACATACGCCGAGGTGTCAAAACTTATCTTTAAGGGTACAGGCGACGTCATCAGATGTCGTCTTTATGAGGGAAAAGTAAAAAAAAACAAACAAAAAACTTTCATTGCCAAGTAAGTCTAAATAACAGCGGATCAAAGTTGGCGTTAACAGTTAGGACACTCACTGATGACGTTAATCGCTCACCTCGAAACAAAAAGATGTCCCGCCTGGTAATTATTTTATTTATTTTTTAATCTTTGTGGGATGTCTTTCACTCTTTCACAGTAGAAAAATACTCTTCAGACTTCTGGCAAAATCTCATATGTAGCAAGCCTGCAGAATTTTCTTTGCTCCATCCACTGAAAGTGACAATACCCCGGCAGACCTTATTTACCGCTGCATTTAGGGACCTATTAACGTCAAATGGACTAACCTGCATGTTGAAAATGGTGCTGAAAGGGTACCCAGTGCTTTAAATCTTGACACGTAAGACTCCTGACGAAGTGTCGCCATGTGATGAGTTGACTCTGAACAGGTTGGAGTTTGAACATGTCTACAAGCTGCACTTGGTATGGCTAAGTGGCTGCTAAGCTCTTGCTAGACCAGTTCTTAGAGCTTATTTTTTGACAGTGCTTGTAAGAATACCCCAGATTAAGAAGAGTAGTTTTAGGATCTGTTGCATAGATTTGGTGACATCCTTTTTTTTTTTTTTTTTTTTTTCTGAAAGCCTGTTTATTTTCATATGTGCTGATTCATTTCTGTTTACTTGTGCAACATAATGTTTAACCCCAAAGTGTTTTCACAATAAGTGCATGTTGTAAGAGGATAAAGTCAAAACTTGGAGCTTGACTGTAAACCAAGCACTCCTCTCATTGCTCATGTGCTAATGATCTGTAACCCAGTTGTGTTGTGGTATCAAAATGCAATAACCTTGTGGCTTAGATAACCCTCCCAGAAGCTGGAAAAAAAACTTGGATTTATACGACTAGGAATTTTAGCTTGGCTGTCATAGTTTTGTACACATTCATCAAGGCGCTGTCAACTGTAAAACTGTACGAATTAACAGCTTTAATTTATTAACAGCCAACGAGGGAGATTAACTGCGTTGTTATTGAGTTGAATGTATCCCGCAATTATGCGGATGGTCTTTGTGGAAAATCCAAATAGCATCAGATTTATTATTATTATTATTTATTTTTTTCATCCCCTGGATGAAAGCGTCACAGCGTTGGATCCAACAAGTTGTCTTTGAGAGTGAGCTCTAATGCTAATGGGAGAGGGGCTGCAGAAGAGCCAAAACACAAAGACGGTCTTGATTATTTTTCTCCTTTCTGCTCCTTTTCAGTGTTGGTCTTGTTTGTGGTCGGTAGTTAGAAACAAAGTTCGTGACTCACGCAGTGAAATCTTCCTGTAGACATCCAGGGACCCAGTGCATGTTTGGCTCATTTCTCAATTAGCTGACTAATATGTTACTGAAGTCACAGGATGGATAAATTTTTATTGTTTCCATTATAATAAGGTGGTAACTATCACAATAGTACACTGATTAATCTCCCAGTCATTTCTCAATGAACCAATTAGTCATTTGGTCTGAAAATGGAGAAAAATGCCTGTCAGGTTTTCCCAGAAACTTTGTTTTTAAGAAGCTTTAAACAAGTATTAACTACATAAAGATTTAACAATAATACAATCTAAGATTCAGTTAATTATGTTTGACTCAAAAATCATAATCATTTAATGTCGACTTTTTCAGTGCACATGAGGCATGAGGATGACTGCGGAGTTCCTCGGCTGCACCTGTAAACTAGCAAAACAGACTGCATGTGCACGAGGAGGTGACGGCTACAATGTCAGCCTCTGTTGTTTTTGCAGAGGCAACCCCTGGGATCAAAGTGGAGAGGATTAAAGTCATTGTAAAGTGTCCCTCTCATCGCCCCCACCTCTCCTGCCCAGTGAAAACAGAGGGCCCCAAAGCCTGCATAGCTTTTATTGTCATAATCCATACAGTTTCAATTGACTATGGAATGCACTGGCTAAGATGACGACGGTGGTGTCGGCAGGGAGGCTGCACATATGTGTGTGAGAAGCCGTTTTCTCTGTAGCCATGTACAAAGACTGTACAGTGAATTGACACGTGTGTCCGGTACATTGCAGCTGTGGTAGGCAGAGAGACAGAGTATCACTGCAGTGGAGAAGGGGAATACCCATGTGGGTCAGCTTCCAAAAATGTCCCATGTTTTATCTCGTCTCAGGGTTGAGGGGAGGGAGGGGGATGTAGGGAGGCCACTATTTTGGTCCCTTTGTTTATGTAAGGAGTGGCAGTAGGGTGCTAGGAGAGCAGAGAAGTCTGGGAATGTCGGGGCTTCATGGCTTGGGAATCGCATGTTTCTGTTTGGTGCTGTGTATATCATAGTTTTACATGGGCTGTGGGATACAAAAGACTTGAAACTGCTTTCTTTGATAGGAACAATCCAACTCTTGATCTCAGTTCCCGTGTGAAATATATGGTACAAATGGCCGTCAAACATGTAATTTAATTAGATACAGTAATTGAAGTGCTTGTATTGGGGTTGCAACTCAGGAATTTTTTTTATTTTCTATATATTTTTTTTAAATAAGTCATTGTGTTATGTATGAAAATAGCAAAGACTGTATAACGGAGGACATGCAGTGAGTTGTGGACTACTCGTTTAATGGCTTTAAAGTTACAGTGTGTAAAATATCTCCACTAGATGTCAGACTGCAGATTGCAGTTAACTTTGTTACTTTTTGCCCTCCCAATTCAAGCGCATAGTCCTGGCTATGGTATCTGTTAGGGGTGGGGGGAAAATCGATACTGTGTAGTATCGTGATATTTTGTTTGCTAATAATGTATCGATACAGGGACAGCAGAAATCGATATTTTGTTACAAAAAAGGTTTCTGTGCTCTGACTTCAGAGCATGTTGATCCTTTTTCTGAGCAAGAACCCTGACATTCCTTCACTGTCCAAATGTGTTTAACTTTTTTTTTTGGCAGCAATAAACATGACAGTTTACTTATTTTAATTTAAGACATGTTTTATTTTAATTAAGTTTAAAACTTTTTTATTTAATGTAAAATTATATTTTGTTTTAATTTACTTTCAAATTCTTCAGTTGCTGAAGGGGCTGCATAGGTTTCATAAAATGCATAGTTCAGAATAGCTATAATTGTACCAGATGGTTGCATTCAGTTAAGTTGGACTAGACTGTAATGCAAACCGTTCAGTTTGTCAACAATAAAACTGACTGAAATGAGAGAAGGACTGAGTGCGAGACTTTGATATTAGATAAAAAGAATATTGATAAAGTTTACCTTTATGTACAGAATCTGAATATCGCAAAATATTTTTAAAAATTGCAATAATATCGTATCGTGCGTTAAGTATTGTGATAATATCGTATCGTGGGATGTATGGTGATTCCCACCTCTAGTATTTGTAGTGAGTGTAGGCTGTCAGGCTGCTGTTTACCTCGTGTCTGTTTGTTTACTCTGAAAGAACCTGTAAAACTTAACAAAACAAGTCTGATACAAGTCAAACAAGCTCGCTTCTGACAGCGATCCTGAGGTGAGTTGTTGAGGATATCCTGTCAGTAAGACCCGCTGTTGTTTATGCTGTTGGCTGGCGTTAGTGTTTATTAGAGAGAAACTGATATTTTTAGGATACTTGAACCTAACATTAGCTAGCATAATGTTAACTTATAACCAGCTGCTGCTGACTTCAGTTCAGGAGATGATGTCTGAGGATGGCATTTTATCCAGAGCCAGTCATATTCTCTTTTCTATTCGTTTTTGCTTCTTTGGTGAAGGAGACCTCTTCTTGAATGATAAAACTAAGTTATGATTGTTCATACATTGAGTTTGGAGATGCAAATGTGAATTAAAATTTGCCTCCATGGTACACAAATGCCAAGAAGCTCTCTTCACTTCCACCTTTGGCGCGCTGCTCTCTCTAGCCACATAACTAAATTGAGATTATGTGCAACAATGTCCATCTCGGCCTCTGTATTCAAGATGGCATTACAACACGGTGACTTCCATAAACTGATGCCTGCTCCAATATATTTTTAACACATTGGAGCAGGCAAATGTTTTGTTAATTGATGCATTAGGAGAATGCATCAGTTTGTTCAGTTACACACTTATACCATTAGTATGTTTATCTGTTTTTTTCCTCTATTAAATAACCTAATAAATGGACTGACTTTACCTTTTTAATCTTGTTAAGGCCTCAAACGAGTAGTCTTTGTATCCTTTGCGTTTTGGAAAATGGATGTGACCATATTTGGACAACCAAAGAGCCACCTGTCACCAAATGTGGATACACCAGTTAATTTATAAACCAGTTCACCACCTGTTTTGAATGAGTATATTGGCTATAACTAAAGCTTTTTTTTTTCCTTTAAAAAAAAACAATTTAAATAGCAATGTACAGCATACTTGATAAGACCACAGTGACCTTTGCCATGTGCTTGAATGCTCATATGCTTTTGTTTGTTGTCTTTGCAGGGACGACATGTCAAGACTGGACAGCTGGCTGCCATCAAGGTCATGGATGTCACAGAGGTAAGCCTTAAATGTCACCCTACATATACTTTTAAATCAAAAAGATAGATTTGGCGCAACATAATGGATTATCATTGGTGTGCTAAAAATGCTCTTGTGGTGAAATGTAATTATACTCGAGTCTGGTTAACATAAAAATCTGCACACATTCCTCTGGAACTTACGTCTGAATATTTAGAGGTTGCAGAGGAGAAAAAGCCCCGCTCTGTAATGAGTTGTCTTCACTAATAAACAGCAGCAGGGAAGGAGTAGAGGCAACAGGATACTGCTTAATTTTAATTAGATTTTTTTTTTAGGTAGCTTTGTCATTTAGCAGCAAGCGTGCTGCCCTCAGCTGTGGGAGGTCCCATCTGCAGATGAGAAACAACCACATATGCACACATGCAGAAACGCAAGGCAGAAGGTTTGAGGGGAGCAGCGAAGACCAGCAGGGCTAACCACCCACACTGTGTTGGTTATGATGAAAGCAACATGGGCGTAAAATGCCGGACCCATCCTGGAGCCCAGTTTGAACGTGTCGCGCGCAACAGCCTAGTGTTCATCATCTTCCTCAGAGGGGATCACAGCCGACAGCCACGAGCTGAATTTTCACCGGTGTCAGGACACGTTTACTGCTTTGTGGATGCAACATGTTTCTATCCTACTGTCACACAGTCCTCATCAGAAGCTCAACAGGAACTGGTGATGCAGCTCGTGTGCCCTGACATGCCTTTTTGCCACCCCTCACGCGCGCTTACGTCACAATGAGTCAGAGTTACACTCTCGACTGACTTGTTATCGTGTGGGAGAGAATGGACCAGCTGTTTCCTGATGTGTGTGAAACACTAGGTGTGCCTTTTCAGACGTCTAGTCACTCACTGAGAACAGGGAGTCACTCGTCACGAGAAGCAGGTGTCCACTTCACCTAAAACCTGCTTGACTGTATTTTTGTGTTTTGTTTTTCACTGGTGGCCCTTTTAACGTCTGTCTTCAGTCTGTTTATGTGTGACTTTGGCTGTATTTAGTGCATTACAGTGACTGTTATTAGGTTTAGCCTGCTCTGCTATCTTCCCTTGCTTCTATCATGACATAAATCATTCTGAGATTAAGCCTGGTTTTTATTACCTGCGCACAAACGAATGACTGTGCACTCCCATTGCTATTAAAGTGCCAAAGCTCACTAACTGGTGGACCTCACACAGTGATTTTTAAGTCAGTTTGACTGAGTTAATTAGTAGGCTTCAAACGGTGCTCAAATAATGACTCAGTTTGATCTGTTATGACCGTACGGCTGAAATATTCAATTACGGAGCTTCAGTTAGATCTGTCAGCTATTTTTCTGCTTGTTATGTTTCAGCTGGCCCGTGTCGCGCTTGACGTCCTGGCTGTTGAGCTCATCTGCAGGCACAGAGGTTCTGTGCAGGGTCACTGTGACCCACATTCTCAAATCCAAACAAGTCCTCTTTTCTGCAGCTATACAGGCCACGAGCTTAAAAAACGGATGCTTTTCCATTTTGACGTGCTGTTTTCTGTTAAATTAAAAGGATTTCTACTCCTTGAATGTGCAGCGCTTCTTGACATAAGGCCAAGGATGTTTCTGCAATTTGGGATCCAGCAGTTACACTTTAGCAAACACTGTACTGGATTTTAATTTGTGAAAATGTATTACCAGGCTATCAAAGACAAAGAACATGGCTAACTGTTTTGTCTTGGGGGGGGTTTCACCCCTGGAGATTTAAAGATGTTTTAAGACGTGAGAGGAAACTCGGCTGGAGTTTCCTCTTTGTTAAATCCTTGAGTTACACTTTCTAAAGATCTTATCTTCAAGCATAAATTAGGAATACTGGGTGTGGCCTAGTGCCACAGCATCTTATGTGTGTGCGTCGTGCGCTGACGTATTGCTCGCCTTTGCCTCTCTCTCTCCGACGCGCATCACCATATGATTGTCTCTCCCACTCAGTCGCCATGTGACTCGTGGCAGAGAGGCTTTCACAGTCGGGAGTGTGATAATCCAGCAGCTGCGTAGCAGAGAGGGGGTACACGGGGAAGGGAGGGTCAGAGGAGGATGGGGTGGTGGAGGGGGATGCGCACAACAGAAAGGCTTACGTCAACTCAAACGAGTCATGCAGCAGCAGCGTGGCTGCCTGTAAAGACGGCCAACTGCCATTTTGCTGTGTGCGATGCACTCACACCATCCAGCGTAGTAACATGCACACACAGCATCACCTTTAAATCGGCTGTAACACATTTTGGTGCAGAATGCTAATAATGGAAATGACAGGATATACAAATATCTGAAGCGTGCACACACTGCATTATGCAGTGGTAATTTTGTGCAACCACCCCCACCTTTGTACTCTTGTCCCCCCACTCCTCTCACTCTACTTTGTAAATAATAGGCCATGTAACCATAAAGCAAACCACTTGCAGGCTGATCTATGCATGTGTTCAATTAGTGCATCACTGTTAATCTGTGTCAAGTTGCTACAGGGTGCAAGTGGGGAGTTTGCACTGCAGCTAGTTCTGACCTTTTTGTGAAGAAGCGATGGCGGCAGGTTTGCTCCCGCTATCTGCAACTAAAGGTCGTTTGCAGCAGAGATTAAACGCTGCGTGATCACTACATCTGCTAGTTTGATTTAGCTATTTCGCGTTAATCCCTCAGAGTTCCCTTTAGGTTACGTTTAAATTTTAAAGGCGCCCATTTCCTGTTCCTGCTCTTCCCTTAAGTAATCCTACACCCATTAAGTAATAATTTATTTTTTTTCTCCAGGTGAAGGTTCATGGCAGAGCTTTCTTTCCAGCTCTGTGGATAATAGCCGCTGGTTGTTGTTGTTGTAGGTTTATCTGATGTGTCTAACGTACAATGCAAATCATTCATGCAACAGTAATCCATAAACAAAGGACTCATTCCTCGCTCGTGCTGCATGAAAAGGCTGCAGCGATGTTGCACCAGGGAGCTGTCACGCGTCTCGACACTTGCTGTGACACAAAGTGTGGAAGTGAATTGATTTATTTGTGAAATGAAACGTTACTCGAGGTCAGGTTATGGTTAAAAGGAGCCTACACGCCACATCATAAAGATTTTTTTGGGGCAAGGCCAAACGCCCTCTTTTAATGTGCACCTGTGTTTGTTTGCTTGTCTAGGATGAAGAAGAGGAAATTAAACTGGAGATCAATATGCTGAAGAAGTATTCCCACCACAGAAACATAGCCACCTACTATGGTGCTTTCATTAAGAAGAGCCCTCCAGGACACGATGACCAGCTATGGGTAAGCCCCTCAAATCCAGTGAAGACATTTAAAAAATAAATAAATAAAAAAAAATAAAAAAATCTAAAGACTGTAGCGCTGATGCTCACTTCTTTTACTAGCCTTCCTTTTTTATTAACTTTCCAGAACTAGGCGTATTTTAATTTTAATATATATTTTTTTTCATTGACTTTGTCTGTTTTGCAGTTGGTGATGGAGTTCTGTGGTGCTGGTTCCATCACAGACCTAGTGAAGAACACAAAGGGGAACCAGCTGAAGGAAGACTGGATTGCCTACATCTCCAGAGAGATCCTCAGAGTGAGCACATTCCCCCGCCCTCTTTTTTTCCCCTCTCTTCTCCTCATTTCTCTTCTCTACCTTCTTTCACTAATATTGCATCTCCTCTACCCTCCTCAGGGTCTCGCCCACTTACACGCCCACCACGTCATCCACCGTGACATCAAAGGCCAGAACGTGTTATTGACGGAGAATGCTGAAGTTAAACTAGGTGAGTGACTGAGTTTTCATATCTTTGATACCTTTTGATCCAATAAATGTCAGTGTCAACTTTAACTTAGAGATTCTCACTTGTTCTTGCCATGCAACACAAGACTCTAAAACATCTATAAAGTGCCCACCTCCACAGTTTCGGACGAACTAGTTTCTCAGGTGGCCACTTGAGGCAGGCAAAAGAATCAATTTTTATAAACGGGCATGTTAAAATACCAAACTTTATAGTAGTTATAAACATGTGTACTGAACGGTGCCAAAGACAATTTTAACCAGTGGTGTAGATTTTAATATAGCTCAATATCATGAATTCCAGTAAGATTTAAATGTATCTATAGTTAATGGTTCCCATTCAGTGGTGCTTAAAACAGTTTAAGTTGTCAAGTTTGCACATTTTGTTTTAAGTCTAGATTTTGCCAGCTACGGTGAATTACAGATGCAGCTTGCTAACCAAGCTAGCCAGTAATAGCTACATCTACCATTGAAAAGATTATGCTTGTGTGTAAGAAGGCTGAAAGCTATTTTCCAGCGGCCCGTTTCTCTTTCTTGAAATCGAGTCTTTGAAGATGATCGTACAGCGTTTAACTGACTGTCTCCGCTCCTTATCTCTCCAGTGGATTTTGGCGTGAGTGCTCAGCTGGATCGGACAGTTGGAAGGAGAAACACCTTCATTGGGACACCTTACTGGATGGCCCCAGAAGTCATCGCTTGTGACGAGAACCCAGATGCAACATATGATTACCGAGTAAGATTCCCCAACGTGTCGAGCGTTCAAAACCTGACTTCCTGTAACCGCGGAGGCGCATTATTCTTGTGAATGGCTTTCTTATTGGGCGTTTTCTTCTCTCGCAGAGTGATCTGTGGTCCTGCGGTATCACGGCTATTGAAATGGCTGAAGGAGCGCCCCGTGAGTGCCTGTTTCTCTTATCATTTGTTTTTTCTTGATCTTTTAATCCTCTTGAATCTTTTAACTTTTTTGCACCGCTTCTTTCAGCTCTTTGCGACATGCACCCCATGCGTGCACTCTTCCTCATTCCAAGAAATCCTCCTCCTCGGCTGAAATCTAAAAAATGGTGAGCACCACCCGGAAAGGACGTTTTTACTGTTTACGTATCTGTCCTATATAATCGCCTCGCTACCCTGCAAAATCCTGACACATTTACTCTGAGATATTTTATGCACAGATTTCCTTCTGTTCTTTTTATGTGCATTTTGTTTTATGTCAGACCTTAGCCCAGGCAGCTACAGAGACTTAAATCTAAGAGCTCAGCTTTCCCTTAGTGCTCTGCTGCTGACTCGAACATCTGTGGTACACCTGCTCTGGCAGGCTCAGGCTCTCCTGGCACTCGCACAAACACACTGGATCGCTGCTCTGGACTGCACTGCAGAAACATCTCAGAGCTCGAACGCTCTAATGAACTGGCTCTCGTTTTACATTTGTCTTCAGAAATCGCTGTTTTATTTTATACTCCACCCCTGTTTCATAAAATATCGGTTTGATTTGCTGCTGTCGCAAGTGAATCTGACGGTGCTCGGCAGCAGGTGCAGTTGTGATAATAATTTCACTCCAGCGTGTAGCGTTTTTCAGTTTTCGTGGAGTATATGTAATGAAAGGTTCGATGCTGCTCGTCTGTGTGCATAAACCTCAGTTTTTGTTGCGCTGGCGAGTGTCTGGTGAAGGGGAGGGAGCGCTGTTAGGAGTCGTGGGGCGTTTGCAAAAATGTCTGCTTCACTTTCTCGTTGCATGGCTGAAATACTTCTGTTTCTGATTCGCTCTCTCAGCCTTGTGTTGTTTCTCTCCCCCAACTCGCTCACAGGTCCAAAAAGTTCTTCAGTTTCATCGAGAGCTGCCTCGTGAAGAATTACACGCAGCGCCCACCAACAGAGCAGCTGCTGAAGCACCCCTTCATCCGAGACCAGCCCAACGAGCGGCAGGTCCGCATACAGCTCAAAGACCACATCGACCGGACGAAGAAAAAGAGGGGCGAGAAAGGTGCGTGTGCTTCTCGATTATCATGAAAGGCTGGAAAAGTGTAGGATGCATAAGCTGTGAGTGACTGGTTTTTGTCCTTGTGCAGATGAGACGGAATATGAGTACAGTGGCAGTGAGGAGGAGGAAGAGGATCCTCCTGAGCAAGAAGGAGAGCCCAGGTATGTTCTACACCTGTAGCGTTTCCCTGAAAGGAAACAAGTGCACCTGCTCAGGTGGAGGCGTTTCACAAAGCTCCAACCTTTTGTCTCTTTCTTACACCGATACAGCTCAATTGTCAACGTGCCAGGTGAATCTACTCTACGGCGTGACTTCATCCGCCTGCAGCAGGAGAACAAGGAGAGGTCGGAGGCGCTCCGTCACCAGCAGCTCCTCCAGGAGCAGCAACTCCGGGAGCAAGAGGAGTACAAGCGCCAACTACTGGCAGAGAGGCAGAAACGTATCGAGCAACAGAAGGAGCAGAGAAGGCGGTTAGAGGAGGTAGGGTTTTGTTTCGACTCGTTGTGTCGTTTGTTGTGCTGTTTTTCGGGAAGTTTTTACCCTGTTTTTAATTTATTTGCCCCCCCCCCCCCCCCCCCCCCCCAAATACCCCCACAGCAACAGCGACGCGAACGGGAGATGAGGAGGCAACAGGAGCGCGAGCAGCGTCGTCGCGAGCAAGAAGAAAAGAGGCGTATGGAGGAGATGGATCGTAGACGTAAAGAGGAGGAGGAACGCCGGCAGGACGAGAAGAGAAGGAACGATCGTGAGCAGGTCTGTTTCTGAAATTACTTTTACTGCAGTTAAAGCCAGCGAAACACAAAGTGAATTGGTGTGTTGGTTCTGTAAAATGAAGACATGAAGCTCAGGGGTTACTTGATGTATTTATCGTAGCGCAGCAAAGCCAAAACATCCCTCTTATCTGTTTTAAGATGGATTTTTAGGGTTGTGCTTGGTGCTTATTTAAAGAGACATGCGCAGCCTTGATGGGTTTACTTTCCTGCTGACAGGAGTACATCAGGCGCCAGCTGGAAGAGGAGCAGAGACACCTCGAGATGCTCCAGGAGCAGCTGCTCCGTGAGCAGGCCATGCTGCTGGTCAGTCGCACACAAACACTCAGCCTTCTTATTATATCACAATGTCCTTTCACCTCCATAACCTCCAAGATATGAAAATGACTTATAAATCTATTTATATCTCCAGGATTACAGCTTTTGATTTAATGCATTTTACTGACTTTTTTTTTTAAATGCATGAAATTCTCAGGAGTTAGGCATTGAGTTGCTTGGATATTATATGTACTGAAGTTTGACCAGGACAGTAAGGCGGAGCCAAAGGTGAATAGGGTCCGGATTTTTGTTTTCCTCTCCTTTCTTCCTTTCATTTAAAGGTGCTGTTGAGTCATTGTAGCCCACTTACACCAGGAATCAACCCTGATCACTTTCATATTTAGTGATGGTGATGTCTTGGACTGTAATGTTTGCAGATGCGATGATGTAGTGAGAGTAGGGACCAGGTGGAGGTATGCATTGGAGACGAGGGGGAGGCAGATGATCCACTGTGGTGACCTGGAAAGAGAGCAGCTAAAAGAAGTTCAGTTATTCTAGCTCACTATGATAAAAAAAGGTTAAAAAACAAACAGGAAAAATATTTTAGATTTTAACTTTTACAGTATTTGCATACGATTGTTCATCATTTATCAATAACAAATGTGACTTTTTAACTTTAAGGATATTTTGTTTTAAATTGGAAGACATTCTAAGCTTTTTGCAAGTCTGTCCTCTGCACATCGTGAATGGGTGATGTAAAAACTGTAAGGAATGGCAGTGGATCAGTGGTATAGCTAAATATGTCAAAGCGTATGAGTGTCTCCAGGTAGGGAGTGGGGTTTTGCTCTTTTGCCCCACCCACCCCGCCCTTCTCCACCCTTGAAACACACAGATGCATGATGGACGGACATGTGGATGTCATCAGGAAATGCTCCACAGCGCGGCTTTATTTTTAAATAGGTGTTTGAGTCGTTTACACTGCAGAGAAATGTGAAGAAATTGTTCTTTCACGTGTTTAATAGTAATTATGATTCGAAGAGACAAGTTTGTTTTGTGTGCACAGCACAAGTCAAACATGACTAAGAGTCAAAAGAAAGATTAAAGAGACGACGATCACCATCATAGTCTGCCTCTGTAAAGACTTGTTGGGCCAAACATGGCCGCTGCCTCTTCTCTCCACCCTGAACCAACCCTACGCTCTGCGACAGGAGTTCAAGTGGCGGGAGCTCGAGGAGCAGCGCAAAGCCGAGCGTCTCCACAAGCGCCTGCAGCAGGAGCAGGCGTACCTGCTGTCCCTGCAGCACGACTCCAAGCAGCAACCTGGCGACAAAACAAAACTCCCATCAGACCATAGTAAGCCGCCACAGGCTGCCACTCTGCCCCCTGACAGAGCCCTCGCCACACTCCCACAAGCTCAGGTCCTCAACTCTGCCGTCTCTGTAGCGAGGGGCGCCTGTGAATCCTCCAGAGCCCCTCAGACGATCCCTGCAGACAGCAGTAAATCCCAGGCAACAGGGCAGGAGAGGACTGATGAGAGTTTGAGCCGGGTCTCAAACTCCCCCAGCTCCCTTCAGACTGAAACCCCCTCTGACTCTAACCCTCCTCAGACAGAAAGCTCGGAGCCCGACAGCGAGCCTGTCAGTCAACCTCCTCAGCCTATCAGAGAGGTGAACCTCCTCCTCGGCTCTGCCTGTTCTTTCCACCTTCCTCTTCTTGCTTGCTTTCACACAGCCTCAGTGGTTATGATGATAAAGGATTGTTTTCCTCCCCACGTACTTGCCTGTTGTGGGTGTTCTGGTCCAAAGCAACAACTAACATGTTACAGTGCCGGGGCTCTCAGACAGTCATCCTTTTGAAGGAAAGAAGTAGGGGGTCCAGGGAGAACCACGGGCTCACAACCGACCTTTTTTTGTCCTGAATAAAACAACCTGCTCTCCTCCGCTGTCTCTTTGCTCTTCCTCTCACTTGCACTGTTGCTCGTCATCCATCAGGACATTGTCATCTTAATTTAAATTTCGAGCTGGCTGAACGAGAGAGAAATATATTTAAGGTCTAGGAGAGTTAGAATAAAGAAGCTTTCAGGGATTCCTCTTTGTCTTTTGACATCCAGTCTGATAAATTCTTCAGTGTGGCTGTGTCGACTCTGTGTGTGGACTGGGCCACTGCATGTGGATGACTGAGGCCCAAACTAACACGCAGGGGCACCGAAGCAGTGTCTCCGGCCTGCGTCATTAACTGCGATCTTTTCCCCCCACTGCATACTTAAATCCTGGGATGTTTGAAAGAGTCCCTCTCCTCCTACGTCTGCACATGTATCTGTGTCTGTATGGCTGCCCACAGTTGGCTTCAAGCATGTTTAATATCGTTGTCACCAGCTGTATGTTGCTGATCGTTGTTGGTTAAATGTAAAAGTTTCCCAAGAGACCACAAGATCAATTTTTCCCTGATACTCATCCCTTTTTTCCCCCCACCCTCTACAATTCCTCCATCTCAGGCCGACGAGCGCTACCGTAAGAACATTCAGGGCTCCCCTCAGGCCGCCCCTCCTCCCAAGCAGCCCCCTCTGCCTCCCCGCTCCTCTGAACCATTCTCCAACGGCGGCTCTTCGTCCGACGCATCTGCCATGCACCGACCCATGGAGCCTCAGGTAACTCCTTCCTCCGCTGCTCCCTAGCCTTTTCCTCCTCCTCCTTCATTCTGTCGCTGCACTGGATTTGTGTCAGTTTTCTCAGACATTTAGCCCACTTCAAATAAAGAAAAAAATAAAAAATAGGAGAAGGTGAGGCTGGGCAGAATGTGTGTTTGAACTGTGGCTTTAGACTGTTCACCTTTTTTGATTTCCCTGGGTATTATTTTTGTCCTACTGTTGAGACTCACAATAAGTCATAAGCACTTCAGTCAGCAGTCTGAGTAGTTTTAAAAAAACATGACAGGCTCCTGATATAGTGAATGAGTTCATCAATCACTGCCTCCGCCAGTGCTAAAAAGCCAATAATTTTATTTCTCGCCTTTGTTTTATGTTTTTCTTTCAAATGAGCAAATAGAGCTATAATTTACCCTCCTGAAATCCTTTTTGCACGCTCAGCGCAGCCTTTTTGCTGAATATACTGAACATATTCATGATTTCTCTTGGGCCGCTCTATGGCGTCATCTTTTTCCTACAAGAATGCCCATACAGAGATGGGTGTAGTGGTATTTGTGGGAGAATATGTACCTTTTACAGACTAAGCTCACAATCACAGAACAATTCAAGAACAGATCAACAGAGAAATGAGACAGTTTTGCCACTTAACCTCCTGAACTCTTTGATATTTCCACTTGAGAAGAGTGGGGGGGGAAAAAAAACTGAACTCCAATTTATCATAACGGCTGCAAAACTGCATGACCAACCTTGGACTCTGTGGCTAAGACACTTGGGAGTGAGACACTTAGCCTCATCACCTTTTCAGAGTGAGGGTTTAAAAAACTCCAGCACACGCTGACAGTTCAATTTCTGTCGAATCAACACTAAATTAGAGGAGAATAACAGCCATATAGCAGCCGTAACCTCTTCAGTAAATCTGCTGCACTTTGCAATCTTTGGGGGGGAAGGGGGGGGAGACATGGACCAGATTTGTGGGTTTTTTGTTTGTAAGCAGAATTCAGCTTAACTTTGCTTAAACTCATGTTTGTGTGTCTGAGGAGTAAAAATCTGTTACATTTGTTTTTTTATTTTTAATAAATTTGAAAGAAGCTTTTCTTCACTTTGAGGATTTTTGTGAAGAAAAGTGTTTTTGTTTTTTGTTTTTCATTTTTCTCTTCCTCAGTAAAGAGACTTTGCACATAAAAAATCTAATTGTGGGTTCACAACATGAATATAAAACAAGTACTGACGACAGTGGCTTATTGCAAAAGCAATTAGATGCTCTGCTTGCAGCAGACTTCTGCAAAATGCACTACTTGTGTATGTTACTCAGCAGAAAAGCTGGGATAGGCTGATTGCAACATAATCTGCCTTTGAACCTTTTTTAAAGCTCAGAAATTGTAATGTGTAATTTGGAATGACACTTTTGAAACAGAAGCGTCATATTTATCACACCGACACAGGCTCCTCTTTCTTCAAATGGTTGATTCCTGTAAAAAAACAAAACGCCGACTGTAGGAGTGAAAAAGTCATTGTTTCGTGTTGTGCTGTCTGCCGTGTGCATGTGTACATTATGTAAAAAGCCACACGCATCTTCCCTCATGTCTCACTGTGTTGTCTGCTTGTTTCACCCCCTCCCCCCTGCTCTTCCTCTTCCTGACTCCCAAAAAGGTCCAGTGGTCTCACCTGGCTGCTCTAAAGAGCAGCAACAGCGCTGCCCCCTCTCCTCCTCCTCCACCCGTGGTTGCCCGCTCTCAGTCCTTCAGCGAGTCCGGCGGTGTGGCCTCTAGCTTTGCACAACTCCACCTGCGCTCCCAGGACCCCCACCATCACCACCACCACCACCCATCGCCTGCACGCACAGATCCCCAACCCCAACCTCCCCTCCACCACCCTCAGGCTAGGCTTGAACATCAGGCCAGCAGCGAGGAGGTCCCTCCCAAGGTAAGGTGCCGGGGGACGGCTGCCTTCTCCCCCCTCCTCCCACACCCAGCCTTCAAATCTCTCCTCCATCGCTCACTTCCTCTCATCCACTTTTACGTAGCATGCTGTTCAGCCTCCTCCTGGCTGTGTGCGTCTGCCTTGCTGCGTCTAGTCTCACTTGTTAACACTTAAAACTGCTGTGAGGGCGTATTCAAATGAATCAGAGCAACTTTGAATTTCTGGGCCGACAGATTACCCCGTCGCTCATATTCAAAATCATGAATGAGAAATAAAACCGCACATTCCTCTAATCTAAATCGCTCTCATTGTGTTGTGGGGGTGTTCTGTTCTCTGCTCCGCTGTGTTCAGCTACGCCCTAAGATTATCTCTGTTTCAGTGGTCAAACTAGGACAGTTTTTAAATTCTTGGCTGATTTCCCCTTCAGCTTCAAATCCCAATGTATGCTCACTGAATTAGCATGAGCCTGAACCAGAGGATAAGCTCTCTTGTTTGATGCCACTGTTTTCCTATTAGGTGATTGTTTTTAGGAACATATTGATTTGTGATGATCATCAAATACTTGTCTCCCAGGTACCGGTGAGGACAACATCCAGGTCTCCTGTACTGTCACGTAGAGAGTCCCCTCTGCCTTCACAGCCCAGCAATCAGGGCGGACAGAGGAACGCAGGCAGGTGAGTAAAGAGACCTCAGGCGTGTCTTACTTTTGGATTATGTGGATGTGGTCTAAGAGAGCTGCTCACATGCTCACACTGTTAAAAGTTGTAAAAGACAAAACAGTAACCCCTCCCCTACATAGGGGTGCCTCTCAGAATAGAGAGTTTCAGAAAATAAAAACAAATGGTAGAATAGACAGATTATTAAGACATAATATTATGACTGCTTATAATATTGCAGATTAATATTTATAAGTTGTTTATGTTTGCATATAAAATGCAAAAAAATGTGCTTTGATTTTGCGGTGATGTAAACTCCCACTAATCCAAGTACGCTCAAAATCACAAAAATATATGTAGCGTATCCTGAAAAGCGCAGGGAGGGTAGGGACAAAATATTAACATATCACATGATAAACTGACAGTGGAGTTGGGTTTGTTTCCATGTGCTTGTTCTTCCTCGTCACAGTAACGTGGAGCAGCGTCCGCTGTGGGATCGAGTGGAGAAGCTGCAGTCCCGGCCAGGCAGCGGCAGCTCGTCCGGCTCCTCCAACTCCAGCTCCCAGGCCAGTCCTGGGGACCGTTTCAGGCCACGCTGTGAGTCCCCTGGTACTGTACTCGGCTACATCTCACTAACCCTACCGACTGCTTATTAGCAGATTAGGATTATTACCATAATTATACAAATCTGGCTCAAATGCCATCCTCTGAGCTTGTGCTTAAATAAGTTTTTTTTTTTTTTTTTTTTTTTTGCCAATTAAAGCGCCTTTGCACATCCAGCTCTCTTCGGTCTCCCCTCACTAACGCCATTTCCTTTCATTTCCACAAAGCTTCCTCCAAATCTGAAGGATCGCCTCTCCAGCGGCCTGAAAACGTTTCCAAGAAACAGGATGAAAAGAACGTCGCCAGGCCCACTCGACCAGCTGTAAGTCCACTGTTACTCGAGTGCTGTTAAACTTGAAAATGAATAGGTGAAAACAGTTTTTCCCCACTTTGCTCTATTTTCCACTGCTCCAATTATCCAACCACCTGGTGTGGGAACCTTACGTGAATCCAATGCTTCCTGATTGTTTGGGTGGGGTGCCTTGCTTAGGGTGATGTGGTAAGCCTATTAACTGAGATTACATAATCTCACCTCTGCTATGCCTGCACCATTGCTCATGCATTGCTCATGGCATTACACGATAAAGATTTCAGATAAAAGGCATTTGCTCCTTTTGTGGAGATTGGCTCACTATTTTATTTCTGCCTTTACTGTCCCCTGGCACCTTTCCATACGCCTCCACTTTTTTTGCTTGCTCTCAAGAAAAATGCACAAGACAAAAGGAGGGTTAACCCTGCGCCGCAGCTTCCGGCTCCTAGATTTGAATGCAACCACATTTGAATGCAAACACGCCCCCCCTGTGTTCCCTTGTACTTGTCAGAATGGCTCGCGATCACCTGTTTGTGTTTGTGGATAAACTGTGGCTTGGAAGCACGGAAGTATACCCCCCCCCCCCCCCCCCCTTCTTTTTCTTGCTCTTTTTACAAGCTTATGCGACTATATTATGACAAAGGGGCGAGGGAAAATGAAGAGGACAAACATGTTAAGGAGGACGAGGTGAAACACTCATTTAGGCCACAGAAAGAGGCTCTTTAGTAATCTGACATTCCCCCATACAACATGCTGCTTACTTCACTGTTTCCTAGAGGTCAGACTACATGAAGGTTGTTTAAAAGATGGAAAAAGACGGTACAGGTTTGTACCCACAAGTGAAAGAGACGAAATAGAAACACAAACAGTTCCTTGAACCAAGGAGGGATTCAGATTTCAGACTTTCTACAGTACGATTTCCTGTTGTGCCTTTTTATTTAAAGTGGACCTAGTCTGCTCATTTCAGACTCAATATTTGTAGTCTTGAAGTCTGCCAGTGTAGCTTTGTACTTTTAGCTGTTCTCCCTTTTAAAGCCAGCTTTCTTCTGATTGGCTGCTCCTCCCTAAGCAGGATGTTTGAACAGTAGGTGGGTGGAGCTTCTGTGTGCCTTAGATGAAGATAATGGGTGGGGGGGAGGGTATCTGTGCACCCTATGACATCATTCAGCCAAAAGGCACAATGGGTCCACTTTGTGTGCTCAGTCTATCATATTGATGCGTTGTCTGGGCAACCTCTGTTATGGAGGGAGTTTTTAAACTTGGAGTGTTTGTCCTCTTTGGTGCAATTTCTTTTTGTGCTGAAAAATCTAAGCCAACTAAAAATTCATTAGTATGAACCAAACAGGGCCATCCAGAAATGGGACCACCTTAGTGGTCTTAGCGCCGTTGCTTCAGGCCGAATGCAACTTGCACCAAAGCGGAGAAATGGACCTGAGCTCGCAGGTTGACCTGTCAGCGCGTCTAAAACCTTCGCTGCTGCTTTCAGGACCTGACAGCGCTCGCCAAGGAGCTGCGCGCAGTCGACGATGTGCGACCTCCTCACAAGGTCACAGACTACTCCTCCTCCAGTGACGAGTCGGGCACGACCGACGAGGAGGACGAGGAAGAGGTGGACCAGGAGGCAGGAGAAGAGTCCACCTCAGGGGCCGAGGACTCCAAAGCTGGGTAATACACCTGATGCCTCTTTTATTAATCAGTGCTGCATGGCTTATCTGCATGACTGCTGGTTTAACTCTGGTCTGGTTATGGGACATCAGATATCCCCATGGCTTCCGCAGGAGAGTGAGTAACGGCGAGACGGAGTCTGCTAAAACCATGCTGGTCGAAGACTCGGAAAGCGAACAGGCAACCACACCCTCCAAGGATGGCACACTGGTCATCAGACAGGTAAGAAGGACGGGCCGGTGGTGCCTGATTTTGACCGATTGGTGGTGCTGATTAGGAATGTAGTTTAGAATTTTCTCTGTCCAGCGTCAGTGTTGTTTTAACTACTCATTCTCCACAATTTCTTCGTTGTTCCTGCATATGATCATGCCATTTCATAGGCTTTCACATTTGAAGATGAATAATCTTAATATGTCAGGTTGCTACACCAAGCAGCAGGCTAGCAGCCAGACACACAGCTCCACCTTCTTTCCCACCTGCTTGCTTGAGCCCAAGTGTGCCTGTTCTTGCTTCCAGAGCACAGCTGACATAAAGCGGTTGGTCACTCTCTCATCTTCCTCCCCTTCCTCGGCTGGCCACGGCCAACCCCAACCCCCTGGTCGCGGCCCGCTAGAGAAAAACGGCTTTCCGGGCCGCATACACCACCTACCAGACCTTATCCAGCAGAGCCATCATTCCACTTCCTCTTCCACAACCATCCCTTCCTTCTCCTCCTCCTCCTCCTCTTCCACCACCACTACCTCCTCCTCCTTACCCTCATCATCTAGCCATGCCAGTCCTGCAGTATCCCCACAGATCTCTTTGGACGAGCTCACTGCCATAGAGGTATGTCCCCATCACACAACTAAGGGCAAACAGCTGAGGAGTGGGCAGTAGAAAAAATGTGCAGACTTTTTGTATAGCTTAAAAAAATGGTATCAGGTTTATTGTGACGGCTATAAAATGCAAACCTCCATCTCGGTCTGTACACGTCAGCTGTCCATTCCTGGGTTGCCTGCCCTGCATCCTCTCCTCCTCCATGTCCTGCTGGCTTCACACTTCCTCTTCTCTGCTCACTCTTCACTCAGCTGGTTTGAATCTTCTGAGCTGCTGCAACCTCCTTTCCCCTCCCGCACCTCACTGCATTACACTGTGCTAACACTGGCGCCTCCTTGTGGCGCAACGTGCTCATAACATGCAGGAAACTAAAGCCCGAGCTTCTTGGGATTTGTATGAATATTTCTAAGATAAATGTCCCATTTATAGAGCAGCACTACCTTGCAAGCAACTTGCGTCTTGGGTGGTGGAGTATCCTTGTGTGTCTGTGCTTCATTAAGAGCAGCTTTTTTTCTTCTCCTCTCTAACAGTTCACAGCAGCCTGTGTTTGGATCACTTAATGTTTCCTTCAACACATTTTTTTCTTCTTCTTGTTGCACATGTTGTTTGTCCTCTGACATATTTTGTGCCTTCACTAACATCAAAACAATTAACATAACTGCACTTAATCTTTTTCGTTTGCTTTTTTCCCGGGGTGGGTGGTGGGGGGACTTTGTTCCCAGTTGTTCTGTAAAAATGTGGTTTTGAAGGCATTTAAGCTGGATGTTGTTTAACGAGACCCCAGAGGTAGAGCTATAACTCATAAGCTCAAACCTGAGGGGCCTCTGCTGCCGTTTAAATAAACAGTCGTTCTTAGGAATTACAAATCACTGTAACAAATCAAGTTTGATTCATGTTTCAGCTCGGTGCATTTTAAGTTATTTTATTGGGAATGTTTTGAGCTCTAGGTTTTCTAAATATCCGATATCTCCACCAGTCGCAGTCGGAGAGCAACTCCATGTCCAAACACAAGTCTTCCTCCTCGTTCACTCCCTTCATCGACCCGCGTCTGCTGCAGATATCTCCATCCAGCGGGAGCTCCCTCAACAACATGGGTAAGTCTGGATATACAGCCCACTGCAAAAATGCATCTTCAACACTAATTCCTCTCTGCTATCTGCAAAGTTAATGTGCACTGCCTCTGCTTTCCCTTTCCAGCTGGATTTGGGCAAGACGGGCGCCTGTCAGATCAGCTGCGGTCCGACCCATCCCGTAAAGGCTCGGTGGTTAATGTCAACCCGGTCAACACTCGTCCACCGAGCGACACCCCGGAGATTCGCAAGTACAAGAAGAGGTTCAACTCTGAGATCCTGTGTGCGGCACTCTGGGGTGAGTCAACTTCAAAAATATGGAGTTACTGTGATGCCCCACAGATGGATAAAAACATATCAGCAGTGACGTATGTTTGTGCCTGTTGCTCTTCCAGGAGTAAATCTGCTGGTGGGAACAGAGAGCGGTCTGATGCTGCTGGACCGAAGCGGTCAAGGTAAGGTCTACCCTCTGATCAACCGTCGACGCATCCAGCAGATGGACGTCCTAGAGGGACTCAACGTCCTGGTGACCATATCAGGTAGAGCACACGTGCCAACCAGAAAGTCTCGATTCAGATTCATTTTTAATCAGTAAAGTTTTGGATAGATGGATTTTGTTTTTGTTTCCTCCCTCCTGCAGGCAAAAAGAACAAGCTGCGAGTGTATTACCTGTCATGGCTTCGAAACAAGATTTTGCACAATGACCCTGAGGTGGAGAAGAAGCAGGGGTGGGTCAATGTGGGCGACCTGGAGGGCTGTGTCCACTACAAAGTTGGTACGTTTCCTAAAGCTCAGATGTAAAGGAAAAAAGGAAATGGTGCCTTGAAGGGAGAGGGGGCATAAAAGGGCTTAAAGCTGAACAGCTTAGAGCTCAGAGGTTGCTCTGAGGCTCAGTATAAGATAAATAAGGCTTATTTTGAATTTTGAATCATGCAAAGCTGCTCTAGCAGAGTCCAAGAATTAAAAAAAATATCCACATAGATCACCATAGGAGCCATCACCCATGATTAACTCGCCACCTACTTGTTATTCCAGTGAAGTACGAGAGAATTAAATTCTTGGTGCTGGCTTTGAAGAACTCTGTGGAGGTCTATGCGTGGGCGCCCAAACCTTATCACAAGTTCATGGCCTTTAAGGTAAGCATGTTCTCTAACAGGTGTCATTCTACCTGCAGGTGGCTGACTGCTTTCAGGCTGACTTTCTTCTGACTTTTTTCCTTTAGTCTTTTGGTGACCTGGTGCACAAACCTCTGCTGGTTGACTTGACGGTGGAGGAAGGTCAGAGGTTAAAGGTCATCTACGGTTCCTGTTCAGGCTTCCACGCTGTGGATGTGGACTCTGGTGCCGTCTACGACATCTACCTGCCCACACATGTATGTGCGAACTGATGCAGACTGATTACGTCTTGTGTTTTGCATTTTCTAAATTTGAATTCAGTTTTATTTCTACAATGCCAAATCATAACAGTCGCCTCAACTTTATATTATAAGGTAAAGACCTACAATAATGGAGAGAGAACTCCACAATTAAACGACCCCCTATGAGCAAGCCCTTAGTGACCGTGCAAAGGACAAACTCCAGCAGAGCCAGGCTCAGTGAGGGGCGGCTATCTGCTGCGACTGGCGGTGAAGGGACTTTTTAAAATCTCTTACCTTTTTCCTCCATTTCATCCTCAGATCCAAACCAATATTCAGTGCCACGCCATCATCATCTTGCCCAACACTGATGGGATTGAGCTGCTGGTGTGTTACGAGGACGAGGGCGTCTACGTCAACACCTACGGACGCATCACCAAAGATGTGGTGCTGCAGTGGGGAGAAATGCCAACTTCAGTGGGTAAGAGCAAAGCAGATATTTCTCATCATGATGCCAGAGGTCAGAAAAATCTGAATCGCACTCTGGTATGCACAAAAACAACCGCACCGAGACCCTTTGCAGGAGGTGGTCTCAGTGTGGTTCCAAACAAACTATATTTATGGTGTGAACGTGATACGAGCCCACTCAGAACATGTTACAAGGGCTAAAAAATATCCCATAGCAACTTATGCTTTGTATTCTCAGTGCAGGTAGCTACTATAGATGCGCAAAGGTCTATACGGGCTAGCAACTAACCAAGAAATGAGTGTAAACTCTGTTTTCTCCCACAGCACCTTCTTCCTGTATTTACTTTTCTTCCTCCCACCCCAGATACGTCTGGCCAGTGAGCGCACAGAACATTCTCATGTGGCTTGCAGTGAAACATTTTGGTTTGCTTGGATTTTTCTGTGTGAAAACAAACCAAACCACAGGGAAAAGCTACAAGTTTACAAACTTATCAGCTGATTTGGACCAGAGTAAAAAAATCTGGAGGTGTGAAAACGCCCTGAGTGAAGAGGGCTGAAAAGTCCTGTGTTCAGAGACTTCTGATTATTTTACTGGGAGAAGTGATCTCCCAACTCTAAAAGCAATGGTGCAAATGATGCTGGCAACTTCAGTGTGCAGCAGAGTGAAGGTTCAACCTTCAGAATAAAACAATCAGATGTGAAAAGCCCAGCAGCAGCTTCACTTGATGCATTCGATTACACTCCAACAGCAGTCAAGGTTTCACTTGATTTTAGACACTTTTGTTTAATAGCTTCTTTTTTATCAATATGTAAAAGTATTACATTTATCATTAGAAGTATTCACAAGTAAAATGACACGTTGTTTGAATTTTTACAGCTTTTTTAACAGCTACTTACCCTCCTTTCCCCCTTTCTGTGCTTGTGCAGCCTACATTAGGTCAAACCAGATCATGGGCTGGGGTGAGAAGGCTATAGAGATCCGCTCAGTGGAGACGGGCCACCTTGACGGAGTCTTCATGCACAAGAGAGCCCAGAGACTCAAGTTCCTTTGTGAGAGGAATGACAAGGTGAAAACATCCTTCCTTTCTTCATCCCTCCCGTTTCTCTCTATACAGTGGAGATAAATGTGAGCACACCCCTAATAATATGTCAGGTTTTTGTTGTTGAAAACACAATACTGCAATAAATCATTTCAAAACTTTTCCACCTTCAATGTCACCAATAACCTGTAAAATCCAACTGAAAAACAAATCAGTTTTGCTGGTTACATAAGTGCACATCCTTTAAGTGATACTGCTGAAGAACCTTTAATCACAGCATTCAGTTTTAACTTGGTAATATTTGCCCTCTCTCCCATGCAAAAGTGCTCGACACTCAAGGCGCTTAACCCCTGGGGGGTCTTAGAAAATTGTGAGGTAATAGCCCTGCAATAATACAGAGAAACCCCAACAATCAGGTGATCTCCTATGAGCAAACGCTTGGTGACAGTGGGAGGGAAAAACACTCTTAACAGTTGCAGTCTCAGGGAGGGGGGCCATCTGCCATGACCAGTTGGAGATGAGGGGAGGGAAACGGTGAGGGAATATCTTGTTCATCGCCCTCTTCAGGTCACCTCATAGATTTCTTTAACATTTTATTTTAACATCTACTCTACTATTACTAATCTACTGTTGGTAGCCTGGCACGACCACCAAACACCTTTTCACCCAGTGTATTCTTTCAATTTCAGGTCTTCTTTGCCTCTGTGCGTGCCGGAGGTGCCAGCCAAGTATATTTCATGACCCTGGGACGCACATCCCTCATGAGCTGGTAGAGACGTGCCGTCAGCCGATATGACAACAGTTACCTAAGCAGCGACCAACAGATGACTATTGCGACTACGACCGACGAAGACGTTTTAAAGCCCAAGCTGGAGAAGCATTTTCTGAGGCGGCGGCTTCCATTTCTCATGTCCTCGGGCAGCCAAACAACGGATTAGACTGTAATCATGAACAGAAGCTAGGGGTGGATATGTATTTAGAGGCGCCTGCAGGTTTTTCTTCCCCCCGCCAACCCCCGGCCTTGTTGCCTGACCTTCGAGCCGATCCCCATTCTCCTCCTCTCCCTCTGAGGAAGCGGGATCTGTTGCCTGTTGACGGTATATCTTTATGTCATAGTAAAACTTTGCATCTTGTAAGTGTATGACAAAATGTGTTTGTCCAGGGGGAGGGGGCAGAACGCTAAACACAGTCGTCACCGTATCAGATAAGACTGTGTTTGTGTGTGTGTTGCCACAGCTCGAATGTGTAGCTGTGTTTAATCCCGGTCCTGTCAGGTGTGTGACTACAACACTACGACTACACTTAGTTCCACAGATTGAACGGTGCTCGACATGTAAATCTTCTTCGTCTTCACTTTGTTTTCTCTTCCTTAACCTCCTGAAAGTGAAGATTTTTTTTAAGGGACCTCCTCGACGCATCCATTAAATACAGGGTACTGGATATGTTGGAGTTGGTGCATACTAACGTCGGACTCGCGCAGGTTTTTCAAGAACAGCTTTATCACGCCTCCTCTTGTGCTGTAGCTCATGTTGGACAAAAGTAGCCCTTTTTATGACGGCATGTTGCTTTGGTGTTATTAACTAAGGTAGTCCCAGTTTTTGTTTTTTAAACACACTGTATATTTTATATGTGACTTGCTGCGCATAAATAAGGAATGCAGAAATACACACAAAAATGAGTTTCAAAGGAAGAATCCACTATTCATCATCAAGAGCCTGACCTTTTTTTTTTTTTTTTTTTTTTTTCTTTCTTCAGGGGCTTTTATTTTGTAATGAAATCCTGGCTTTTCTTTTTAATCTGTGTCTCCTTTGCAGAACCTGTCGTTCTACTGGAAATATAGAAACACACACCGACAAAATAGACCCAGAAATGTGAGGTTTTAATACAAATAGTTTTATGTTTTTAAGGTGGATTTTTCCTTTAAGATCAGTTGTAAGTAGGGCTAGCATAAACTGTGAATTAGCAGGTTGCCATTAAGGTAGCATGGAGGCCAGTGGGCAGAATGAGGGCAGCATGTATAGATCTCACTTAGAGGAAAGGAGGGAGGGTCAGCTGATTGTCCTCCACCTGCACTGTTGTGACATTTTCACATCTACAATCATCTGCGTTCTGAAGGAGACTTCAACTTAATGTTGCCTTAGAGGAGTTTCCAGCAATTTAAACAAAAAAAAAAAAACAAACTTAAAAAAAACTAAAATCCACTACTTCAAAAGTGAAGACGTTTAGATTTTAGGGTAGGAACACTTTAGTCTGAAGCAGCCGTGTGACTCAATGTTGGACCTCATTTATTTTTATGTTCCTTCTGTTTTTTCTTGACGCATTCAGGCATGCCACATCCAATCAGGATTGAAGAGACGCGCTACTTTAACCGAGCTCCCATAAAATTTTTATTTCGTGCTCTTTCTTCCCATCTCACCGTCGGAAACCCGAACGACAAGGCGAGACTCGTTTGTCACTTCACATGAGACAGTCTCATCCCGCCGCTGAGTGTAGAGTCCATCCTGCAGCTGTGCTTCTGTGTGAATGACAGAGCTTCATAATAGGACTCTTTAAAGGGCGGTGCCTTCGCTGTCTTTAGGGGGAAGACCCGCTGTGAGGTGCAGAAGTCGCTTTCAGTCTTGTCGTTTGTGTAGAAAGAAAGAAGGCAAAAACATAAATGAATGAATCACATGTTCTGATAGTGTGGAAAAACCGCTCCAGACAGCCAAAACCATGTGGCATACTTTTGTGTTTTTAAACTCTGGCTTAGTTTTTATTAGTGTTGTTTCCAATCATGTGTAACCCTTCAGATAAATATGCGACTGCAGTGGTTTTATTTTAAATGCACACCTTTATGTTCAAAATGTTTACAGAAGCAGTTGTTAAACCGATGTGCATCGATATGAATATTTATGGTTTCTCCCGCTCCACTGCTCCTCTTTTGTATTTTGTATTATCCCTTTTTTTTGTACTTTCATTTAGATGTTTGTGTACAGGATTAATCAACTTTTGCTCACTTTATGAATAACCCAAGCCCACAGTGTCAATTTCACTGATTTCCTTTACATCCTCCTTAGTGCACTGTGTGCGTGAGTGTGTGCGCTCCTGGCTGTGTGGCAGCACGGATCTAATGTTTTCTACCTGCCAGGTGACACGTCCCCCCCCCGGATGTCTCTCTACATGCCTCTAATTTATGTCCTCTCTGTGTGTACTATGGGAATTACTGTATTTTCTTGAAGGTTTTTTTTTTTTCTTTCATTGAATAAAATCAAAAGGAATTTACAGTGCTGCGTCATTCTTTGTAACATAATCTGTAAATATTTACTGCTGCATCAACAAATTGAAAATAAAATAAAAAGGAGACAGAAGTTTAAGAAATGCTGCTGCTCTTTCTGGGCCTGCGCTTGTTTAAGGTGGGACTAAATGGGGGGGGATTGGAAATGACACTCTACATTTCAAGCTACAGAGGAGGCTTGCCTGGCTTATCTGCATCAGTTGATTTTTAAAGTGGTGCACGTGTGACTGTCAGAAGCCACATAACTGAATGATATATGAAGCTTCATATGCAATAACTTTTTTTTGTGGGATGTCATCAGACTCACGTTGTTGTGGATGAATTTTGACCGCCTCTCACTGAGGTTTTAAGGTCCTGCTACAGCTGTTCAGTCAGGTTGAGGTCTGGACTTTGGACCACTGCAATAGCTTGATTCTCTTGTTTTTCTGCCGTTCTGTTGTAGCATTACTGCTGTGCTTGGGGATCATTGTCCTGTTGCATGGCTACATTTTGGACATGCTCTTAGCTGTCAGATAAATGCCCACATTTTGGTACACAGAGAAGTTCGTAGTCAACTCGGTGACGGCAAGGTGCCCAGGTCGTGCGGCTGTAAAACAAGCCCAAATGATCACCCCTCCACCACCGTGCCTGAGGAACTTATGCTGGTTTGTTTTGTTTTAATAGCCAAATATCTCCACTTTGGTTTCTCCTCACAACCCTTCCAAAAACCCTCTTTTAATGATGTATGCTTTGAACAGTCAAGCAAATATACACTAAAACAAATTATCCTAGAGTTGATTTTCAGCTTTTTCCTTACACATAGAGGTTTCTTCAGCTTCTGTGAATCATCTGATGATATGTATTGCGGATAGTGAGATATTCAAAATCATTACAATTTTACATTGACAAACATAATTCTGAAACAGTTTCAGAATTTGAAAAATGTTTTGTATAATGAACATCTGCCCATTTTTACTTGTGAGAAACTGCCTCTCTAAGAAGCTCTTTTTACACCTCATGCTGCTTCTCTTCAGTACCACTTACAATTCCAGCTTTTTGTTGCCTCATTCCAACTTTTTACAGATGCTGTACTGCCACCAAATGCAAAATATTTCTCATTTCAAACATTTGATGTTTTCTATGTTCCATTGTGAATAAAATACGGACTCGTGGGGTTTCCAAAAGGTGCATTTTCTTTTTATCCACATTTCACACAGCCTGATAGCTTTTTGGAACTGGGGTTCCAGATTTACTCGAGTACTTTACTTTACTAAAGTACTTGCACCTTATTGTTTTCTACTTAAAATTTTGCACTTCGCAGAATTTTAAAAAAAAGTACATGTTATCAAGCAGATTTTAAACGCATATAATGTTTGAAGGGAGGAAAATAGGACTTGCTAATAATACACGTTCACCGCAAGATGGCGCAATAATTTTAGTAAAGCGAGCCTCAACACTTTTGGTACAGTTTCCTGTTTAGCCTAAAATTATCATGATTATTGTTTTTATTAATTGTATGATTTTATTTTACGTTAAGAGAGGTTAAAATCTTCAAACGCGGCTGGTTTTCAGTTTGAAATGTATGCTATGTTGAGGGTCTTGAGGTAAGTTAGTTGCTAACAAACCGTAGGGTTTGTTGTTATATCTTATACCAGACAAACATAAGACAGAAGAAAAGTACACAAGTGTTGGTATAAGAAATTCTGCTTGTCTTTCTTCCCCTTGAACAGGCGGTTGGTTGGCTTGCTTTTATTTTGAAAGAGCGGCAGAGCGGAAGGCGCGTCGTTGCTCTCTTCAGCCTGACGCAGTTTGGCTGGGTCACGCTGCAGTCCGGCCGGATGTTTTGCGTCGCCAGTATGTGATGAAGATGGGCGCGTTTTAACGCCAAGCTTGTCGTGCGGCTCCAGCGGCGGCTCCGACCAGGTGAGAACCCGCCAACAGCGTCCTCAGGGCGGACTCGTTAGCCGGAGCAGCCGCAGGTTGGTGTGGGTGAGAGCTGCAGGGAGGTCGTGACGGTGTTGGTTTGCGGTGACCGTGCACGCCCCATGCGCGCTCCCAAACATCCATAATATAGTTTGTTGACTGTATCCTCTTCAACAGGCTGACAACGGGATGGGTGCTGCTGTGGGGTTTCGCGCCTTTTAGGCTGAAAATGGAGCTGATGCGTGTTTTTGAAATTAGCATTAAGGCAGTTTTGGGGTGAAGAAGGCCTGAGTGAAGCACAAGTCTGCTCTCTGGGGAATTCAGGAGGGAGAAGAGGCGCTCTTGTCTCTCCCTCCCACCTGTCTCCGCAAACTGACAGCTGTGCTGAACACTGGTTATAGTGGTTCAGCGAAGGGGTCGGACCAGTAGCAGTCCAGGCTTTGAGCCTTTGGATGGGGATGGGGGTGGGGGGCGTGGTGTAGGCACGAGCCCAACAGCTGTCTGTCCACACCCCGTGGGGCTTTTATTTAGTGAGCCCACTTTGCTTTCTTCTCACCATCACCCCTGTTTCCAAACTCAAAGTGTGTCCCTGTCACGTTTAAAGGCTATTCTGTATCAAATAACATCCTCGTGCATGCTGCTACACATGTCACAGTTTAAGAGGAAAGGTAATTAGCTGCTTTTTGGAAAATACTGCAGCTTCAGCAGTGATGTTTGGCCCTCTGACTCCACAAAGTAGTGATGGGATTTCCGGCTCTTTTTAGAGATCCGGCTCTTTCGGTTCGGCTCACTAAAAAGAGCCGGCTCTTTCGGCTCCGAACCGGATCTTCAGGTTGTTTTGTTGCTTTAATTAATTTATTATTAACAATAATATAAAATTATGCACAAAAGGAATTACTAACATAAAAACAAGTGGTTTTATTTATATATGTTTATATATAAATATATGCGGTGGCCCCTAGAGACAAAACACGTACAAACTCCAAAACACATTTCTAGCATGAACTGAACTTCCAAAGCCGAGCTACTAGATCACTTAAATTACACAATTGAAAGCATGTGTGTATTGTTTGTGTATTTATACACAGGCACTCATATATATATTCAAATAATTTAAAAAAAAGTTCATTTACCTGTTATTACCACACACCAAATCCGGTCGTTGGTACTTGCTGGCTTGTGTAGCCACAAGATAACAAAGGCTCAACACTGCGCCCAGCATCCTGGAGCACTTCTGTTGTCTTTTGTACGTGTTTTGAGTTTTTATGTGCTTCTGAGTTTTTACGTGCTTCGGAGTTTGTACGTGTTTTTTACGTGTTTTGGAGTTTTTACGTGTTTTGGAGTTTGTACGTGTTTTTACGTGTTTTGGAGTTTGTACATGCTTCAGAGTTCGTACGTGATTTGAAGTTTGTATGTGCTTTGTCTCTAGGGGCCACCGTAAATATACTTTTATTTATTCACTCCACATAAAATGTAATAAATAAATCATATAATACAAAAATCAACTATTCACATTTCAACTTTTAACTATTTAAATTTTCAGCTTTTTCCTTTCACAAATTTAAAGTGAAAAGAACACAAAACACTGCAAACCACAACACAATTAAATATAAATTATAATATGAAAACTAAAAGAACATGCATATTCTCTGTCATATGGACCTGCATGAATAAACTTTCTCAATCCTTTATCATCTGCAACTGAAAATAGTTGTGGATGATTACTATACCTTTCTAATGTTGTTGTCCCTGCCTCTCTTTCTCTCTCTCTGGCTCTGTTCCTGTGCTACTGAGTGTAACTACCGCCCCTCCCCCCTCTGCCCAGCATAAAGCACAAGGCTCGCGTGCAGAGTGAAGCGGAAAAAAAGTGCGAGAGAGAGGCTGAGAGAAAGAAGAAAAAAAAAAAAACCACGTGACGGCTCGCGATAAGGAGCCGGCTCGCGTCGTTCACGTCAAAGAGCCGGCTCTAAGAGCCATTTCGTTCGCGAACGACCCATCACTACCACAAAGACTTCCTCTGTTCACTTTTCTGTGGTATTCATTTGAAACACACACACACACACACACACACACACACACACACACACACACACACACACACACACACACAGAGGTGATGACTTTTGCCATGATATCCTGAACTTACTCTGTACTGCTGGTGGTGCTGGCAGTGCTGAGTGGATGTGCAGAGGTCAGAAAGAGGTTACAAGGAGCAAAAGGTCTCCTTCTGTTGCCTGAACCTCGGTTGGATAGGAAAAGTGGACCACAGTGATGCACTGCACCTTCTTTCTCCCCATTTGTCATTTTTCCAAACACAATAGAAGATTAATCGCTTACTTTTTATTGTTTTTAAGTGACAGTGAATTGAACATCGCTGGATTTCTGCTTGTTTTGAGAACTTTGTTTATTGCACCTCAGTCAAATGTGGGATGTGTCTCATGCAAAGCCAGAGGCATTTTACTTTTTCATGACTAAAGTGGTTATTAAAATAGTCCCTGACTCGTCGCCCGATAGTTTGCAAGTCTTATCAATAAGGAAGTAAGACTAGAGCAGGTTGGACCAAACCCGGCAAGAATTAATTTCTGGCACAGGAAGAAGCCTCCCGCTGCAGCTCAGCTCTGTTGTGCTGGGTTCTCAGCGTTCGTCCTGCTGCTGCTGCAGTTGTTGGGAGCAGTGCACACCTGTTTGTAAGGACAGATGGCCCCCACAGAGAGCTCCTCCTGTCTCTGTTAGAGCATTTGGGAGCTGTGCAGTCGGTCAGCTGCTGTATGCATCTCTCCTCAGCACCCTCGTCTGACTCTGAGAGCTGACTAGGAGCATATTCTTATTTAATCAGGCATTTGTTTTCTTGTTGAGCCCACTAAAGCTGGGGGAACACTTATTTTAGTTGGCAAATTGGCTGAGCACACACACCGACACCACACCGCTTTCTGTTGCCTCTAAATACATGCTGCTACTTGTTGCTGCCAAGATAAATGCAGCTGGATATTTCAGCCTTATCTCTCTAAATTAATTTTTCCGTTGGCAGATGCGTTGTCCTCTGGATCGTACTCAGTTTCCACGGGTGTGGCTGCTGCAGCTTGGCTGCTCATTAGCCCGAGTGCTGTGTTGGCCCCTACAAAGAATCCAAAGTGAACACTGCAAATAATTCAATTAAACCTGCAATGATTACGTATTAATTTTATACCAGCGTACCAATTATAGCCAATTATACAACTACTTTGATTGTAAAGTGCAGTTGATTTTGTTATTTTTGATGCAAAAGTGTGAAATATTTGCTGTTTTGGAGCACAGATCTTGAATAAAACCAGGCAGGCTTTATGTAAGTTCCCATTAAGCTAGCAAAACAATTCTTAACCACTAAGACCTATAAAGGTGTCCTGTCAGGAGGCAACATGTGAGTAGCACATCCTTTAAGTCCTGGAAGTTGTTTTTGCAGCTCACCCAAGCGACGGCCTTCTCATGAATGCTAGAATTCCTGTTTTCCCATAAACGATCCAGGTGCACTGTTCTGACTCTTCCTATCTTATTCAAAAACTAGTGCTGCAGTAGCTTTTCAGATGGCAGGGATCACCCACGTCCCTCAGGTTTCCTGGGTCAGTCTTTCCTTGCATGTTGGGAACACCCCACTACACCTGCTGCTAAACTGAATTTGGATAATGAATGTTCACCTGCTCCCTAATCTATCCCCCCAAGTGCTGTTTTAACAACTTTTTTTTTTTTTTTTTAAACATTGGCCCTCTTCTTAATCATTAATATGAGTCATTAGTGTCACATAAATTTTGTGCTGGAGAATATCAGTATTTTTTTTTTTCAGTCACATAAATCACAACCGTATTTTCATTTCATATTTAACATTTGTCTCGTGCAGTAATTTATTTAATCATTTATGCTCGGTCTTGGCCGTTGTAAGTCGTTTTAAGAAAAATACTTAAAAGTTTCTGTGAAACCCAAACCACTGGCTGTCTCTATTAGGTTGACATGACTAGTGGACATGCCTTGTCACCTCCCACGGTATTACATATCGACAGTGTTATTTATTTATTTATTTTGCTGTCAGTACTCTGTGTTGGTGACCAGAGGGGACAAAAAAAAAAAAGATCAATAGTGACACTGAGACGTTTGATTTTTTTATTTTTTTTTCCCCTGGCTTGCTTTGGTGCCATGCAGCACTCATGTTACAGCAGTACCTGATTATGTGCAGTTAGACAATGTCAGAGTCCCTGAGGAGCAACAAAAACATACAGTTGCTATAGAGTCTGAAGAAAATGGAGACAAAAGCTTCGGATTTGGAGGTGAAGGAGCAACTGTGTGTGTCCACCTTACTTTTATTTCATCATTTTAATACACAGGGATCAGCTGTGGGATTTGAGTTGCGCTACTTGGCTCGGATGAAGAGTCATTTGATTCAATTTTTTTAAAAAAAGTGTCCTAGATAAACAGCTCACATATTAAGCTGCACCATGTTCATCTTTGGCATATTTGGCATATTAATTTACACTGTTGTTATAAGCATCTGCCACTTTCACCTCTGTCCAGTCTGTGTGTCACTTTGGTCAGCTGGGTGTCCATATTCAAGTGCATGGTACTAGACTACAGTGTATTGTTCTCTGCTCTTCATTCTGCCTGTTTGATAGAGGTGGGACTCATCAGACACTGATACAATATTATTGGGATTTTTTGCGATATTGATAAACTTTATTGCGATTTATCACTTTTTCTCACAAAGTTAAACTTTGTCAATATTTCCTTTTTTAAAAATTTAAAACAACTAAAGGTAGCCATTGATTTGGTTTAAAAAAAAAATAATTTAATTCGTTAATTTAAGATTTGTAGATACATGGAGGTTTCTGTCTTATTTACTACTATTAGTGTGTATTAAGTAGCAGCTTTTTCAAGTTAAGTGTATCCAGCGTTGGATGGTTTTTCGGTTGAGATGAGTTTGTTTGGCTAACGTTATTTCGGGATGGGCGTGTATGAGATAAGCTTTTTTTGTTGTTCAGTATTTAAATGTAGGGTCTTTACCTTACAATATAAAGTGGCTTGAAGCAACTTGATTGAATTGTTGAATTTGATGCTATATAACTGAAATTGAAATACATTTATACCACTGTACAAGAAAACGTAGGCAAGTTCTTGTGTCATTTTGGGTGTTGAAGTATGTTGCTTTTCTTTAACAAATGGGATCCTCTACACGTGCTACATAATCATATAAAAGACAAAAAGGCAAAGATTTGTGCTCCTGAGTCATCGGCCTTAAGTGTGCCACAACAATGCTGAGCAGGTCCCCTCCTCATACTCACTGGGACATAAAACTTTTTGATGTCTCTCGCCCCCCACACACTTGCCTTTTTTTCTCTTTCAGCGCAGCCACACTCTTCTCTTTCCTCTTGCACTCTCTTAAAGGCCACAGCAGTCTTTCAGCCAGCCTTCAGCTTTTCTTTCAGTTGAAACCCCTCCTGTCACCACCACCGCCACCCTCCCCACAGCTCGAGACAAAGAGAGGAGAGTGACTGTGGCGCTCTGTAGCCAGGTGTTCTCCATTGCTGCCCGGGGCCGTAATAGCACCAGGCCTCACACTGCAGCTGCCCTCCCCAGCCTCCCATTGTGTAGCTCCATTGTTCAGCCTCCCACCCCTCGTTGATTCATCGGCCACACAGGGGAAGCCCTTTCAGGCCGTGGAGTGTGTGAGTTAGCGTGCGTGTGTGTGTGCCGGTGCACGTCGAGTACGCGTGCCTTGGGGAAACTGGGTGTTGCAGACATCTGCCCACAGCCACTCCCCTCCTCCCCCGCCTCTTGCCTCTGCACCTCATTGTAGGGCTGCTGCTTCTCCGATTGGTTAGAAGCAGCCACTCTAAACGAGGGAATGGCTGACATTGTTGGGTCCATCTGTTCTGCCACTCATTGTCCAACTTGCCTGCTTCTTCAGAGGGGGGAAAAAGACACACACACAGCTCTGGAAGACAGAGGCGTGAGGCTGGAGCTGGATGCTCTAGAAGAAAGAAGAAATCGATCTTGGATGTTGTTGCTGTTCGAACTTTGGGATTGGTTCTTTCTCAGTTTCACCTGCAGCGTTTTTTAATCGGCTTTTCAAGGATTTAAAGATGTTGAAATGAGCTAATCACATTTCCTCTCTTCATTGTTTGTTGCACTTTATTGGTCTGGTGAGTGTGATGGAGTTCCCTCCTCTCTATTATAACCTGACTTTTATACTGAAATTTATCTTCTGCTTGCTATAAAATAGAAATATTGGCTTTTGTATGACAGGTTGCTCCTCTCGAGCCTCACTAGGCTTCCGCTGCACTGCAGGATCATCAAAAAAACTGATGCTGGCATACAGGGAGTAACCTAGACTCCTTTAAGTTTTCAGAAAGGTTCGAGTCATTTATAATTCACAAGGGCAAATTCAGATTAAAGAGGAAAATATGGAGCCTACTTTCTTTGTTGCTTGTGAAATATTGCTGAAAATGGATGCAACTTGCAGAACCCATTAGTGACTTTTTACCACAAGAGTATTTTTAAAAAGATTCTTGGTGTGCAGGATAAGAATTTTTAGTGCTGTAGCACCTGCCTAAACTTTGCTCACTTCTGCCGTCACTGCAGTTGTTCAGATTTGTGTGATATGTGTTGATATGAAACTTGATGCAGGAGGGATGGGCTTCCTGTGATGCTGGTTAAAAATATATATTAGTGTCACATTAGTGGATAAAACAAAAAAGTTTTCAGAAAGTTTTCTATAAGGTGCTGCCCTTAGAGAGAGAAAGTGTGTGTGTGTGTCTGTTTTGTGCAATGGGTGGGGGATACCCATTGCAGATACCGCGCTCAGCAGACATCTGTTGCCTTGTTGCTGGTGGGTAAAGTCTAGTGCGCCACCTAGATGCACTAATGCATGCACACTTTTTACAGTAACTTTTGCACTGTGCTGCAGACACAGGGGTCTACCCCCCACCCCCCGTAGTCCTGTGCCCCCTCTCAGACCGCCTTTCAAAATGGAACCCCCCCAATCCGCTGCACGCACTTGCACAAAGCGCTGCAAGGACTGTGTTACATATTCATTACTGGTTCTATCAAAGCCAGCAGTGGTGTGTGTGTGTGTGTGTGTGTGTGTGTGTGTGTGTGTGTGTGTGTGTGTGTGTGTGTGTGTGTGTGTGTGTGTGTGTGTAAGCTGATGTTTGAAAGATGCACTCGCTCAGCCTGGAGGTTTGGAGATGCCACGATGTCTTTGGGCCGTTAAAGCTGGACCCGATTTCACATGCATTCGTCTGCAGAGCTCTGCCACACAAGAAGACTTTTAAAACCCTAGCTATGAAAAGACTTACAGGCTTTCACCGTGACTGTTCAGGTTTTTGATGTTAAGCAGCTCAAACTACGGGATTATGATTAGATTTATCCAGATTGTGAAAAAGATCAAATGAGGGTAAAGAGGTTGTGAAAGCAAAGAAACTTAACAGAACTAAAAGATCCAGAGTTATCTCAGCAGTTAATATCTTTGGGCCTTGGACTGATTTTTCATACAAAATGTTTTAAATATGTAATCTTGGACTGTGACAAAGCAGTTTTTTTTCAGACCTTATTCGCCATGGTTTTCTTTCAACCTGTAGGCAAATTGCTCAATTGATTAATCATAGATATAATCACAGTAACTACTAATGAAGATTATTAGCAGATCCAAACCAACATGTCAGTCAATTGATATTAACAGGCAGTTTTGACTGGCCTCAGATGTATCAGCATTCAATTACAAGTTCTACTTAATTTTATTTATATGGTGTCAAACCTCAACAACAGTTGCCTTAAGGCGCTACAGTTATAAAGAGAAAAAAGTCAAATGACTGCCTATGAGCAAGCACTCGGCGACAGTGGGAAGGAAGAACTCCCTTTTAACAGGAAGAAACCTCCATCAAAACCAGGCTCAAGTAGGAAGACAAGAAAGTGTTATCCAATATGCACTGATATAGTTGTTTTTTGTTTTTTTTTCCTGAAATATAATTTTGAAATAGTTCAGAAATTCTGTCATCACATAGTTTGCCCAACAGAGCGGCGCTGTCTCTACCTCAGATCTGTCTGCAGCGCATGTAGCAGAATATCATGACCACTGAGTAAATCTTGTGAGTTACTGGCTTTTCTGCAAAATTAATATCCAATAATGCCATAATTTTTCCTTTTTACGTGTAATTACTGCATCTATGTATATTAAAAAATATCAGCAGATAGATCTGTATTGACCTGATATCGATCAGCAAACCCATCACAAGCTAGTGTACTGGTAGTGTGCCGGTCCCAAGCCCGGATAGGTGCAAGGGCATCCGCTGTAAAATCAAACACGTGGATCCACCCATTTGGTGTGATGACAGCTTGGTAAATAAGGGAGCAGCTGAAACTACCGGGTGGAGCTTTATTTATCAGCTGTCGCACTATATGCAGTGTGGGAGCCCATCAGCTGGCCTGCTGGCTTATCCTCTGGGGAGCCAGTGATTCAGGGCTACTGGTGTAGGTGGTGGATATCTGTGTTCTGATCACTGGTCATTGTTTCCAAATGGCCACAAGAACTACCAGATGTGATTGTTTAGTAGAACTTGGATTACAGTCGAGCAGTAACCAGAAAGCTTTCAGTACGGAGAACATTGTCTGATACCTGAAAACTGTATAAAATAGGATGGTATTTATCTGTTGTGTCATATCAATTTTACACTGAGGCAAACACTACTTTGCACAATAATATGACGAAGACCAGGAGACCTTTTATAGCTGTTCAGTTGTTTATTAGAACCAAGAATTATTTGTTTCTCTGATCCAGAAGGGTGAAAGAAATTAAACTGCAACAACAAAATGAACAAATGTAAAATATCAGCTATCCACTAAACTGTTATTATCTGTATGGGCTGAGGATTTCCTAACCTCTGCAGATATCTGTAGATAGACTATTAAATATATTGATTGCTCTTGATTACCCTCTTTAAGGCTATGAATTATTTGTCAGCTTTTGATTCATATGGAGATATAATAGTGGTAAATAATGAAAAAAAGAGACTTCAACAGTAAAAACTTAGGTGGACTGCTAGAGCCCAAGCCCGATAAATCTATTCCAAATGCCTTTATCGACTCCAAACTGTCCGCTGTGAGATCTTTTTAGAGTACTCATATTTTTCTTGTAGCGACAGTCAACTGTTGAATATTTTCTAATATTGTTGTTATTCTGCTGCTGTCATTCACAGTTTCGCTTTAGCTGGATCTGTTAGTGTTGGCGTGGCTGACCAGACTGTCTGAAGTTATGCAGTGCTGATGTGATGCTCGCGCTTTAGATTAGCTGATTGTTAAGCCTGAGAGAAGATTATCAGTGTAGCTGATGAGCTGCAAACTCAGTCCCACTCTCTCCACGGCATTATGAGTCACCTTGGGTCGTTAGTGTGTTTGTGTGTGCATCACAGGGCACCATCAACACCCACAGCAGCTAATGCCAAGGTCCCAGTCCTAATCAGTGCTGCGGGTCTATTGTTGTCTTGGTGGGTTACCAGTGAGGCACACGTAAACCCCTCTGCCCCCTCCTGCAGCAGACCTTTTTGTAACATGTGTGAATTAAGGCGGGTCGCCGGCTGAACGCTGCAGCCTCTGTCTTGGCATTTGGATGGGAGAATGGTTTCAACAGCTGTAGCTTAGCAACAGTAGCTCAGCCACGTTGCTAGGCAGCCCTTTTTCATAAAATGCACACTCACTCCACCCCTTGTCTAACCGATCCTCCCCGTTCTACCAACAGCTTTAAGTCACTTCCCCATTTTCATCATTTGCTCTGCCCTGCTTGTCGTCAGGATTGTGTTCTGGCTTGGAAAAATTTTCAATTTTGTAGGTGCGAAGATTTTAAACTTCAAAGTAGAGTCCAGTCAGAATACATCAAGCTGCATATTTAGGGTCAAATCTATTAAAATAAACAAATAAAAAGCCAACTTTGTCCCAAATAAGACTTCAAGACTTCAAAAAGTTCATTTTTCACTTCTAAAAGCATTTTTGCCCTTGTGGAATTTCCCCACAGATTTCACCTCAGGATTAGTCGAAACTTTTCCTTTATTACAAACCTCTAAACCTTTATTAAACCTTTATTACAGATCAGACTAGTCTAACCTCAGACCTGATGCTCGAATACAACGCCCCGATTGACTTCATAGCCTTCAGTGTTTTAACGAGTGACCCCAGTGGGAAGAAGCATATGGGCCTTAATTACCAGGTAGAATGAGGAGGAAGAATAGTCCAACCGCCCTAGTTCACCCTCTGCCCCCCCAATAGATTAATGTGCTGTGGCGTGGTGCTATTAAAAAACACACACACTGGGCCAGACATGAAAAAACGCGGGAGTTCATTAATTAGGGATAGAGGCCCCATCAGCTCTTTGTGTCTGCCAGCCTGTGCCTGACCGCGCAGCCAGTCAGATTGTTTTTTTTCTTTTTTTGTTTTTGGGCAGAACAGATGGATCCAACACTGTTAGCCGCAAATTCTAGGTGTAAAATCAGATTTCCATAAAATGACAGTCAGTGTGGACTTTAGATTATCATTATCACACAGCCTGGATGCAAATTCTCTTTTTTGCAAATGATTTCTCCCTGGAATTTCAGAGGAACTGCTGTGGTAGCAAATGCTACACTTTTCAGCCAGGGTTTTCATCCACGTATACGTTTAAGTAGGGATTTACCCAATTTCCCTGTTGGCCTTTGTGCCATCGCGTCGAGTTATTAGACGTTAGTATTATTATTATTATTTTATTTACTTTGTCTTCATTTTTTTAATTCCCTTAGTTTCAGTCAGCTTCCAAAGTGGGTTTGCTTATGTTAGTTTATCTTAGCTGCATGGAGTCGTCTGACAATCATGCAGACTATAAAATTAAAAATATGAACCAACGCCAGTCAAATGTAGTCAAATCCAGGAGCCGGGATTTGACTACATTGGGCACGGTTTGACAGCTAAATCCATCTTTTATCTACAGTTTACTCACTCGCTCCACCTTTCTTCCTTTAGGCACCAATGAGTCAAGTTTTGTGAGTGGGCAGCAGTCAGCCCAGTGTGCTGGATGTCTGTGACAGACCCATGGGTCAGAAGGACCATGTGGAGGCAGGTTCAGGCCATATCCTCGACCTGGGGCTGGATTTGGAGTATCTACACGTAGCGGGGGGTGACCGGCAGGCTGGCGGCGCTGACGGGCCCCCTGCTATGGAGGAGCAGGGGGAGAGCACCGCTGGCTCCCCTCCACTGACCGTCCTAGAGGAAAACAGTGGGTTCGACGCAGAGGGCGAGTCAGCGTTGACCTCCAGCTCCACCCTCGCTCCGGGTACCGACTCGGACGGAGGAGACGGAGGGTCGACTCACAGTAAGAACACCCACCAGCCCCTCTGCCGGACCCAGTGTGTGGACTTAGGCACCGAAGGCCCTCCCGAGCCCCCATCTGAACTTCTAGCAGAGCTTGAATGTGACGCCCATGCCCAGTCCACACTCGGCTCCCCATCCGAGCACCTGCCTGAACCTCCACCCAGTCTGTCTGCTTCAGAGCCTGGCTATGAGGCTGGTGGGAAAGAGTACCAGGCTAAGCTCGAGTTTGCCCTCAAACTCGGCTACTCCGAGGAGACGGTGCGACTGGTGCTGTCTAAGCTCGGCCCTGACACCCTAATCAATGACATACTGGGAGAGCTGGTCAAGCTGGGCACCAAGTCAGACAGTGAGCAGCCGGCTGGATTATTAGCCTCTACCTCATCCTCTTCATCTTCCTCATCCTCCTGTGGATGTTCTGATTTGCTGGAAGGCCAGAGGCCAGACTCACCCTGTCATTCAGACTCTTTGTGTGACCAGGACAACCTGCGGCCAGTCGTGATAGATGGCAGCAATGTAGCCATGAGGTGAGCTCTATTATTATATATGTGTATATGTTTGTCAGTGGAAACTGCTGTAAAGAAACACATTAAAATCATAAATGTTTATTTACGCTGTCTTTTACCTTTTCACCGTTTTCACAGCCATGGCAACAAGGAAGTGTTTTCCTGTCAGGGCATCCAGCTGGCTGTAGATTGGTTCCTCGAGCGCGGCCATCAAGACATCACAGTTTTTGTGCCTGCGTGGCGGAAAGAGCAGTCCCGACCCGATGCCCCTATAACAGGTCAGTAGAAGACGCGGTTTAACTAACATCCATTTTCTTAACTGCTTATCCACCTTAAGGTCGTGGGGTGATAGGCCCCGAACACATCAGCAGGAACTCACAGGGCTAAAGATCCAAAATAGGTAATAATGGTTTTCTAGCACTGCATTTCCCCCCAGCCTTACTATAATCCTTTCCTTCACAGATCAGGACATCTTACGTCGCCTAGAGAAGGAAAAAATCCTGGTGTTCACGCCTTCACGGCGTGTCCAAGGTCGACGCGTGGTCTGCTATGACGACCGCTTCATTGTCAAGCTGGCCTATGAGTCAGACGGCATTATCGTCTCCAACGACAACTACAGAGACCTGGCTAACGAGAAGCCCGAGTGGAAGAAGTTCATAGATGAGAGGCTTCTCATGTATTCCTTTGTCAATGATAAGTGAGTAGGGGAGGATGTTATGAGGACATTCATAACTCTTATCTTTGAATCAGAGTGATGTTTAAATAAATAAAGTTTATTTGCAAATAAAATCTCACACTCTGCTGTAAAGAAGGCATTTTTCACTTTGCTATACGTGGGGAATCAATTATATTCTGTGTGCCTCCTTTAAAGCTTCCACACTTGAAGCTGGTGAAGCAGTTTTAAAGAATGTGGATGGACACCATCGTATTTCCTCTAATAGCGAATTAATGCTCTCATCCTTTCTAATCTCGCAGATTCATGCCGCCAGATGACCCTCTTGGTCGTCACGGCCCGAGCTTAGACAACTTCCTGAGAAAAAGGCCCGTCATGCCTGAGCAGAAGAAGCAGCCTTGTCCATACGGTGAGAAGAAAGTCACGAAATATACGTCGAAATAACGCACATGAAACATTTTGTGCTTTTTAAGAACCACGTAATAATTTATATTGGATTAGAATCTCTCTCACATGTGTGGTGACATTGGACCTCATTTGCAAATGCGTTAGTGGAGACTTTCTTATCCTGCAGAAAGTTATCGTCAGATTTATGACGTGTGCGCCAGCCCATTTGTTTCTCACCTCTGTGCGTATGCTGCTAAATCAGACTCATTCTAAATCAGTTGGCATACTGCCACACCCCCATTTCTCTATATTTCTCTGGATCTGTATATTTACCAGTAGGTCAAGTGGACAGAGCGGTGATGATGTCGTGCAGTTAGTTAGTAAATGAGCTCCCCTTTCTCTGCCCACTCTGTGTGTTTACTTGTTTACTGAAGCGCACGTTGTGTCTCTTTGCTTCAGGAAAGAAGTGTACTTACGGTCACAAATGTAAGTACTACCACCCGGAGCGAGGCGCCCAACCACAGCGTGCCGTGGCTGATGAGCTGCGTGCCAGCGCCAAGACTTGCGTCGTCTCAAAGAACCAGGGCGACGCCGGGCTGGTGAAGAGCCACAGCGTGCCAGCTGGCAGCATCGACGCCAAGAAAGGCGCCCCGAAAAGGCAGTCGGACCCCAGCATCCGAGCTCTGTCATACAGCGACGCCGAAGAGAAGCTGCTGGCCAAAGGGAGGCTGGAGGTGCAGAAGAATACTGTGTGTGGCAGCAGCAGTAGCAGCTCCACTAGCGGTAGCTGCGGTGGGAGTGTAAGCATGTCCCCGGCCCCAGGAGGCCCACCATCCACTCTTGGCCTCCCACAAGAGCAGCAAGCGAGACCAGTGATGCCTCATGGTCACTTACCAGCCCCCAGCCATGACCTTTACCCTCACTGTGAGTCTCCAGACTTAAGCTACTATTCAGTAACACGTGCTTACACTGGCCTGAGTCTCTCCTCCAGACGGAGCCCAGACTGTCGCTTCCCCAATGACACAGACCTGCGGCTGGGCTCAGCTGGCTCCGAGTGCAGCAGCGAAAGCAGCGTCAGTTGCGGCAGCAGCTGCGACTTGTACAGCGAGAGGCAGTGTCCCGGATGCCCCCCGGACCCCTTACTGGAAGACGCTGTCCATTTTCCTAATCCCCACAGCCGACTGTACTCCCATCATGCCACATCTAGCCATGAACTTTGTGGCCTGCATCCTGCCGAATACACAAACATTCAGCACAGCCACACGCCGAGCACAGGACTACACCCTTACCACCTGAGCGCCGCACACGGGCAGAGCTGCGCTCATGATCCGCCTCCACTAGAGGCTCCCCCAAAGCGGCCCCTCTACCCCCTGCCCCCTCATCTCCAGCACCAACCGCTGACCGCACGGTCCAGCTGCCCAGGCGACTACCACTCTCTGCCGCAGTCCAACCCCGCACCCCCTGGCTCACCCCTTGGCCGCTGCCTGGCCCCAACGCGAGCAGAAAGTGTGTCCGACTCACACCTGTACGAACACCTCTCCACATCACACCATCGCCACCGACCAAAAGCCCTGCCCAGCTGGGACAAGTACTACAGGCAGCCACCGCTGCCGCCGTCCAGATACGAGCCGCCTACCTACCAAAGCCTGCCAGACACACGCCAGTCGTCCTGGCACACTCCTCCATGGACACAAGACGGCTACGGCCAGCATCACTCCTCTCACCCAGCTCTCCACCCATCCCCAACTCATTACCTCAGCCACCCACCGCCCCCAGCCCACTCTCCTTGCCCGCCTCATCCATCCAGCACCCCTCTCCCGCCGTACCCACCTCACAGCTCTCACCTTACCGTGCCGTCTCATGCCCCTCCCTCCTACATGTCACAGCACCCAGAATCCCCTTCGCACAGTCGCTACGGCGATGCGAGGGAGAAAGTGTACATAAACCTGTGCAACATCTTCCCCTCAGAGCTGGTAAGCCGGGTTATGGCCAGAAGCCCCCACATCACAGACCCCCAGCAGCTGGCAGCTGCCATCCTTGCAGAAAAAGCCCAAACAGGCTACTGAGGAGGGAAGGTAAAGACGAGCTAAGTAACTGCTTCGCATAGCAACACTGGTAAATGGACTGGTACTTGCAGTGCGCCTTTCTACTCAGTTTAAGCACTCAAAGTGCTTTCTCACTCCCTCAGACTTCTGATTGGTAGACGACCTGCTCTACCACCTGAAACACAGCCGTCCTCACACTGCCGGGATTACGCTTTCAGATTGTCTGTGAGGAGAGCCGTTTTCATTTCTTATATTAATAATCGAACAATGCAAAAGTCTCCAGGACATAAAAAGCTGAAGATAATCCAAATCCAGGTCTGGTCACTGTGCAGCAACAACTTTTACCAGGTGTGGAAAGAGAGCGAGACACTGGACGAAGTCTGTGATTTTGACTTAACCTGCGACAAATGGAGATTTGTTCTAGACCCCGCCCCCCAGCTGTTGTTTTTATTTGTACTGTAGCTTTGCATACAGGACGTTTATACAAGGGCACCTTTGGTTTTACACCCAAACCATAATCTGGTGAGTTGGTTTCACAAAAATACATCGAAAATGTGATTGAATTTAAGAGTTATTTATACATAAACACACATTATGTGTATTGTACACTGAGTCAAACGGAGCCACCACACGGACCAGGTCTTGTCCTGTGTCAACGGTCATCGGGTACTCAGTTATCACTCAGTGGTTTCAAACTTCTGTTTGTCCAAGGTCTGTTCCATAAGTGAGTGTGTGTGTGTGTGTGTGTGTGTGGGGTGTTTGTGGATTTTTTTCCCATGTTGGTAAACACGGGAAGATGGTCATCTTATTTGAGATGACGTCAGTTTTTTGGTCAGAGTTGTAGCTGCAGAGATGGGTGACCCTGTCGTGTGTACCTTAGTTTTAGTAAGGGACATCTCTCTCGCTCTTTCTCTCTGGCCCTTTCTTTTGGGTCAACTCTGGTATCTGCTACAGACAGAACATCCGGCCACCGGTAAATAAACCATGTACATATTGTGAATATATTTATCAGATCCCTCTGCTGTGCTTTTGGCTAACAGCGTGTACTGTCGTCTGTAGCAGATCCCAGCTGAATCCATGCTTGACAGAGAAAACCTTGTTTGATACAAATTGTATCATTAACTAAGTCGCTGATGTTATATACAGTACATGGACTCGATGATCCGTATCTATCAAACACTCTTGATGTATTGCTGTATGATGAAAGTGCAGTGACAAAACTTTTGTTCCAATCAAAATGTTCCAACTTTTAATCTTGTGGAAATAGCTTTGAGACAATTATTTCAAATATATTTTAATCAAAAGGAGTTGGGTGCCTACTATGTTTAGGCGTCGCAGTTTCGTTACCTTTTGGGTTTAAAGCTGGCTTATTGTTTTGTTTTGTTTTTTTATAAAGGAGCTCTGGGTACTGCTGGGTACTCATCGGAAAATAAGAAAAGGTTTAGGTTTCAGCGTGAGGTTTGGGCCAGTTCATGTTAGGATTTTTTTAGCCTCTTCTTTAAGTCAGGATATAATGTTAAATTATGCTTTAAATAACATAAAATTGGGGCAAGGACAATTTATTGTCTCTATTAAAAGGGACCTTTTATGCGAATTTCCAGTAATGTATTTTTATTCTGAGAGTCTACTAGAGTAGCTTTGCATGATTTGTAGTTCTTAAAAAACAACAACAATAAAATAAAAAACTATCCATACAGTTCATTCTGGATCTTAGACATTTTTGCTCCCAGCTCTTTGAGGCTCCTCCTCCCTAAAAGGCTACTTTGTTCTGATTGGCTAGCTCTCATCAGACTTTGGGAAACAGAACCCAGTGCTTGACCATATTAGGACATCTTCCAGAGTTGATGTCAGCTCAGCAGAAAAGTAAAAAAATTTATTTATTTTTTTTTAAAAATCAATCATCGGGAGCAGCCTGAGGCCTGGAGTTTATGCTAGCAGACAAGTGTATACAGTGACCTCAGTAAAAACTTTGATCATGTTTAATTGCAGTCAACATTGTAGCAGTGTTTATGTATGGCAGAATATAAGGAAAAGCATAAAAAGGTCGCCTTTTTTCCCCTGAGTTGAGTGCACAGACCCCAGCCTTGTTTTAAAGGGGACTTTTATATTTAGGTCTATATGAAATCCTATGGCGGCCATTTTGAATGTATCCAAAGTTCTACTCAGTGTCTGCCATAGCAAACAGGTGTGGTCTTCATGTAACAATAATTCATCACCTCACTAGTGAATTATTTGAAATAACGACAATATAAAACAAATTTAGCAAAGGTTAGCGAGCTAAGCTGCTAGCTGCTTTCTAGTAGTCAAATGTTGAAAACTTCTGTCTGATATTTTAATACAAAATATTAAAACTCCTTTAGCCTCAGTGCATTACTGCCTGGTAGCTCAACAAATGAAGACAATATTTCAATTTCAGCATTTGGAGGTTAAATTACACCTGCCTTGGCAACCCGAGCACTTCCTTAGCTAATGGTAACACTTTTTTCTATGCGTTCAAGATGCTACCTGCCTGTGGGACTATTGAGGAAGACATACTTCTAATAGTAGGATGCAGCATTAAGTAAAATGTTCACCGACTTTATATTTTTTATTTTCCTTTCAATGTTAATGTTGCTGGAGTTCTTCAGAACACAAGTTTGGTTGTTTTCTGTCGACTGGAGGCCCTAAACTGTAAAGTTCAAAATGGCCACCGAGGAAATAAAAGTTTAGCACTTGAGCTCATCGTACCATTAATCACAAGCCAGCTACATATAGCCCACTGGTTTCTTTCCTGTCCAACACATGCTGTTGATGAGAGAGAACCTCTGTGTGTATTGAAGAAGCGCCTTCTCTCTGGCCTCCTGGCACTGTGTGTCAGCGTGGCACCTGAGGGTGGGCCCAAAGTAATGCCTCTTCGTGGCATTGTGCTTATGACACATCCAATAATCTGAACTATGTTCAGCAAACTTTTATGCATGTTTTTAGTTCCTGCATGTGTTCTTGTTTAATTTATGTACATATCTGTTTTCCTGAGAGGCGTGTCTTGCCGTTGTTGTGATGTAATGCTAGTTGTTGTTTAAGTGTTGTTTTTAGGTTTAACTGTACACATAACAAGCTTTTTTTCTTTTTGGTGTGTGAATTTTTCACTTATTGTCCGGTCTTGGCTGCTACAACACTGGATATTTACTTGTTGGGATGAAGAAGCCTGTGATGGATGACGTCCCATTTTTCTCCAACTGTTGTTTCCTTTGGAAGTGCACTCAGCCATATATAGCAATATGCTGACTTGCGGATATCATAACTCTTACTGGATAAAAACCTATTTCACATAGTATTCTACTGGCACAATGTAAATACTAAGTACTTCAATATTATAACACTTTCTGCTGTAACTGTGATTATTCATTAAAGAGTACTGCTATAAAAGATGGTGAGTCACAGAGGGTCGTTTTAAGTGTTTTATAGCACCACTGTTGGGTCGTTACTCAGAAAAAGTTGTATTACACAGTAGTCTGAACTTTTTTTTTTTTTTTTTTTTAAAGTAACGAGTACATTACTTAATTACTCCCTAGAGAAAGTAATTATAGTACTTTGTATTTCAAATCATGTTAATGAATGTCACATAATTACCATTGCAACTAAAAATAATTGATCTGATCCAAGTGTGCCACTGTATATAATCACAAGTATGCAAAGTGACCAAAACACATGCTGAAAATTTAAAACTTTTATTTGTGAACCAATGAAATAGACCAAAATCCACTTGTGCCTTCTATCTTACGGAGTACTAACATGAACATAAGGATGAGGAGGAGGGGGGACTCCAAAACAAAAGCAAAGCAAAACATGACAGCTGGTGCCAGAGCAGGCGTCATCACAGACACCGGCTTCATTGGAGGGGACAGATGCGCCAATAACTGCTGCTGTGAAGAAAAACAGTCAAACTGAAGCCTTGTAGCATCGATGTGGAGGGTGGGGGGAGAGATGTCAGCAAGAGTTTTCCCCTCCAGTGAAGCTGGCCAATACACAATGCGTGCTGCTGCTTTACGGTCTTTGAACACATTACCAAAAAAAAATAAAAAATATGGGCTGGAAGCGCAGGATCATTTCTTTCACCTGCTATGGCAAACACAATAGTAACAATGGACACTGAAGTTAAACACAAAAGACAGGCTTATGTCATACAAATGCGTTACCGTCAAAACTCCAGGGCATTAAAAACAAAACAAACCCCCCCCTCCTGAAAAACTACCTACACCAGCTGTCAAGTATAGCAATAACATACTATAAACATATTCATCATATTGTTAATAAAAAAACAAAAACAAAATAAAATTAATGTTTACTCATTTCAAAAATGCACCCTGGAACATGTTTCCCACACCACAAAAGCTGGACTCCATTTGTTGTCTTATGTTGGATATGAATTGAAAGAGTTCAGGGAATTTTTGACCTACCCTCTACTTGATTTCCATGAGTCATGATAGCGAGGTCTGTTTGCACTAAGAGCTTCCAGTAAATCATCTCAGTCCCATTATTCTGCTGCACATCCTGAAACTGTCTCCTTGAAGTCAACATTTTGGGCTTCTTTAACTCACGAGAGCCTTTTAAAACCTCTGGAGTTCAGAGTGGTTCTGTGGACCGAGCCCACCATCGCTCGCCGCTTCTAAGAAGACCCTGAATGCTTCAATGGACCCTGGCAGACTGACCTACGCTCTGCACAGAGCACACCTTTATCAGCAGCATTTGTTCACTCATCTTCCTCATTTTTTGGGAGTTTTTTTTTGGGGGGGGGGAAACAAAAAGCAATAAACAAAAAACAAACAAACATCTGAGCAAGGCCAGGAGAAACTGCTGTGTAAAACTAGCTTGATATGTAAAAAATAACACTTTTCTAACCAGATTTCACAGGAATCCTCAATATTTTCAAGCAATCGTAACCAAAATACAGCCAGAAAGTAACTGACAACACGTAGCCTGCCCGGGAGCAATGCCGCAAAATGTAACAGTAACCAAGTAAAATTATTTTTGTTCATTTTTTTCTAATTTTATTTTGGGAGGGAGGGAGCATCCTAAGTGTTTGACTGTCAGTCACCAATGTTATTATTACTGAGGTAGAGATTTGTCCCGAACTGAGACAGATGTTTTCATAAGCTCCCCAGCCAGAGAGGTGCCAGGCCTCAGCTTCCATAGCCACACACACACACACACACACACACACACACACACACACACACACACACACACACACCCCCCATTGGACAGACGGAGAAAAGGCTCGGCTGCAGTGCGGTTCCTCTGCCCGTCCTTATTTTCGGTCCCTGGGATCCTCTGTGAGCTGGCAGGCAGAGAAAACCATCTATGGTGACTGGGAATTAAACACTGGGACGCAACGCCTACACTACCAATTAGCTTATATTCACAATACTTTTAAGCTTGAGGGCGAGAGCTCAAAGTGGCACAAGTTGATATCCTATGACTTCTGTAAATTTAAAGAAAAACATTTTGTTTTTCCCTTTGTTACCTTTGCTACATTCGTTCGTCAAAACCTGCCATGTGACAAGTTGGGTGGCTCTTTGCCCTACGAGGGTCAGTTCAATTTTATTCACAGAAATATCTTATATCAAAAATTACAATTATTGATTTTAGCCTGTAATGACACTATTAAAATACTGCAGTGTTATCTTTTTTTGTATAAATCTATAAATGTCATGTTTAAACTATAGTTTGACTTTAGTAAGTAGAGTTAAATTCTCTCTAACGACTTAGAGATGGTGAGAGTGTTAGAACATCTACCAGGTGATATGCTTTGACATGCTAATATAGAAGTGCTTTGACACTGAATGAAAACAATAACCCAATTTGTCCCTAAACTCCAGTCCTTATTTGGAAACCTGGGGTTAAACCCGGCCTCAACAGACAACTAAAAGGATGGGCATCATCAATAAAACGAGTCAAACAAAAGCAGAAGGAAGAAACGTAAAAACAAGAAGAGGACAGAAGATCTTTTAACTGGAAACATAGAATCATACTAAAGCTTTGCATACAAAGTTTTCAAGCGAAAGAAGAAAAAAACAACAACAAAATCGCTCTATGGCCATGTTTACCCAAAAAAAAATAAAAAAAAAAAATTCCAACTGCTTCCATTTTTGGTTTTTACAGTTTCACTTCCCCCATTCGAGTAAGAGATGGAGATGATCTCTCCAACACGATAATTTGCTTGTTCAGAGTGGCGTGTATGCAGCTCCACATCAGGGAGAAATCCAAACTCAGATAAGGAAGTGGAGCAGGACTTTGGCAAAATTGGATAAGAAGATTTCTTGAGACAGCCTGGGTGTTGGGGGGGGTGTTGAGGGAGACTCGATAGGCTTACGAGGACGGAAGCGTCAGTTGTCCATGAAGAAGAAAAAAAAAAAAAAAAAAAAATCAAGCAGCCGTTAAGGAGAGCGGGGTAACCCTGAGGTGCTGTTCTCACATACACTCGAACTCGTCGATGCGCTGCTTCGTGTTGCCCTGTCGGATCTGCCGCAGAGTTTTGTATTTGTCTCGGCCTGCTTTCACGTTCTCGGCGTGCAGCACGTCGTTCTGGGTCTTCTTGGTGTCGTCTCTGGCTTCGGCCAACTCTGAACTCAATGTCTATGAGAAGAGAAGAGAGGATAACAGGTTGAGGAGGGCGAAAGAACAGGAGGAGAAGACGCGACCAAAAAAATAATAATTAAAGCCAAGAGGAGAGAAAACTGTCTGATGATCAGGGCGGCACAGACGTTGCAGACAAGACAAACAAAACAGGACGTGTGCGGAAGAGAAAACGGGATCACGCTCCATTTCAAAACTAAACATCTGATTGACGCAAAGCCACTTATCTTTAGCTTTTGGTTCTCTGTGTGCGATCTTTAGTCTTCACTGACAACTAAATCAAAAGTGTGTTTGTCTCTGCTGTATTGAAAACAACACACAAGCAGGGATCAGCAATGGTTGGACCAAAGTCTCCTTCAGCAGTCGTCTTTGGAGGAAGCCGATACAAAGTGCAGGCCTGGGTGTGAGGTTCCTGCCTTTCTTTATGTAAAACTATTCTAACTCTTCTTGCATTAGCTTCAGTATTAGTCCTGGCCTATGCAGTAGCCAGGCTTCATAGCAGTCTTTGGAATTTACTTAACAATATAAAAACTATGATTAGGTTGGACATTATCCATCTGATTACTTCATTTCTAGAAAGTCTGTTTTAAAGCCAGGCTGCAGTATAAGCCAGCACATCTCCTGTGACAAGCAGGAGTTTAAAGAAGAACGGACACAGACGTATGCCTCATCTTACCCTTATCTGCCATTTCTTGGCCCGTGTTTCTTCTTTGCAACAAAACTGCTGTTATAAATAACAATGAGATGATATTATTTTTTGTTTGTGTATCGCAAACCTCCTTTGGTTACATGAAACTAAAGCTTATTTTGTATATATATAAGTTTGCTCTAAAATTAATCTGGCAATTTTTGGCTTTAGACTTCATTTCAGCGCAAGATGCACACCACAGTGGTGGAATTTCTTTATATAGGACTAGTTTTGATAAAGAGTAATATCAGGCTTCTTATGGAGGCTAAATCTGAACAACGGGTTGTCATTTTAACCCTGCCCTAAAGGTTTTCACTTCTTGCTCCTACCTGCAGCTGCTGCTTAACCCTCTCATTCTTCTGTGCTTCAGTGACGCGAGCCTCTTCGCTGCGGAGGTCAACATGACTGACGCCCTCATTGGAGAGCTCGGCGCTGGCCTCTGCGTGGTTCTCATCGTGTTCATCGTGCTCGTTCTCAGCATGACCGCCCGGAGGCGCTGGCACCACTGTCATGGCGGTCTTCAGCTCCTCCTTGGTTTTCTCCAGGTCCTGCTGGGCTGACAGAGCCTGCAGGTGGAGGCACGAGGAAGGAGAGATTAGGACAGACAGCTCACAGAGTCACGCTAGACAGGTGAGAGCAAAGGATGCCACACAAAACAGCTGTGGTTAAAGATCTAGGCCATCAGACCAAAAATAATCACAGTGGCATTAAGCCTAATCTGCATCCATCATGAACTGACCCATCTATGCAAAACTGCACGATTATTTGTAAAAGAAACTCATTACAGGAAGGAGTTGGGGAAAGATTTAGATTTTTTAGATTAATTAAAAACACGCTTTTTAAAATATGTAAATATTAACAAATGTTTAGTGAAGCCAATCAAAATGTAGACACCATCTGATTATGAGTGATGTGGAAGACAAGCGATGGGTATGCTGTATGGATCCATGTAACACAGGATTCCCGATCACTCTAATCCTCCATCACAGTGGGTGTAGTAGTCCATACCATTTGATTTACAAATATTATGATGACAAATATTAAAAATTAACCAATTTAATTGTTTCAGTGTCCACTGCTGGACAAAATTCAGTCACATCATGCACAAGTTGGAAAGTTTTCCACATGTTTATCTCATCTGGTGCATGAAGTCATCAATGAAGTCTGCGTTACCTTGTGCTGCCACTCTGTGGCCTCATCCTCTTTCTTCCTCTTGGCGTCTTCTAGGAGAGAGATCTTTGCTGTGAATTCAGCCAGTTCAGAAGCCTGCAATGAAAGCAGTCCCTGCTGTTACTCATACAGAACAATCTATGGCTTCAAACAATCCGAAATAATCAGACAGACACCAGAGCCTTGTAAGTGCAGGAGCATAAAGCATATACACATATGACAGTCTGGCACTGCTCCCAGCATCAGTCAAACAACACACACCAGTTGCTCTTGAGTCTTCTGCTGGTCTGCAGCCTGTCTGGCCAGCTCCGCCTTGGCCTCCTCGGCTGCTTGCCTGTCTCGCTCCAGCCGCTCAGCCTCCTCCCTCGCTTTCTTTCTTTCTTGCTCGAGCTCCATGGCGCGGCGAGTCTGTTCCTCAAGCTCTGTGGAAGAGCAGACGCGAACGTGTCATAAATAAGCTCCGATTTATGTTGTAAACATTCAGAGTCCAACCTCAGAATGAACTCTGGTGATGGCAACTGAAGACTTTAATGTAAAACAGAAGCTGCAAGAGCGCAACTTATTGTGTTTTGAAAGTTTCCTCTTATTTCAACTATTGAAAAATGGGTTTCTAAATAAGTTTGTATTTTTAATTTGAAAGAAAAGAAAAATGAAAGCACAAAAGCTTTGCTCAATCTTTATATATTCTGGTCACACAAACATAATGAAATATGTAATTGGTCTTGATCTAAAGCCCTAGAGAGATTCTCCAGTTTGACATACAGGAGGGAAGGAGGAAGTAAGAGCTACAGTAAGAAAACTGATGAGAGAATGAAAAAGAAAAAGGGATACCTCTCTGAGCTTTCATCGTCTGCTCTTCAATCTGTTTCAGCCTCTCCATGAGCTCTTCTTTCTCACGCTCTATCCTTTCCTTCTCTTTCTCTGCATGCTCTCGCTTCTTCTTTTCATTCTCCAGCTGGGCCCTGAGAAGGTTGCAGATTACCTGTTTCAGATCACTTTGTGTGTATATTTTAACTATGAAACATCTATTTTAATACTGTATATATACATAGATGAAGTACTCTCACCATGATCTGAATAAAGTTAAATGAAGCTTCAGAATGAATACATGAACATGCCTCATTTTTGTGTAGCAGAGGAGACACTGCCCTCTAATGGAAATGCTCTGCTGTAGCAGTGACTCGTCATCAGTGTAAGCCTTGGTCTGATACAATTTTGTGCATTTGTTTTAATGGGAAAGTGATAATCAAATGTTATCAAGTCCTAGCACACTCCCCATGCATAGCTTTGCATAATGACATGGAACAAAAAAATAAAAAATGTATGTGTATGTGGCCAAGTCATCCCTCTGCAGTACCTCTCCATCTGTTTGTGGTGCTTCTCCTCCCGGGCTTGAGCTTTCATCTGCTGCACCTCGATGGTGTCGGGCTTTCTTCTCCTCATGTACAACTCGTGGTTACCCATACACAATGCCAAAATGCGCTTGTTGATGCGCAGACGTGGGGCATAAAACACAAAGTCCTAAAGGCATGGATAAAAGAGAGCAAAACAGAAGCGTGTGAAGCATTTATATAAAGCTGAAGGATGAATATTTGTGGACTGAGTGCGACACTCACAGGTGCTTTCTTGTCGATGGGTTTGATGACAAACTTCTTGTCATTGAAAGAGATGTTTCGAATCTCACTCCAGGGGAATCCAATCTTTGGTGTCAATCTGGATGAAATAGCAAAAAACTGGTTAATTGTGCAGACTTTTAACAGCCTGTTAAAAGTAACCCAATACCACGTGGTATAAAATTCAGCCAGCAGATGGTGCCCAGTATAAACAGACCAGCTTACAGGAAATGATGACACTGAAGCGTCTTTCAGGTCTGTGTGAGAATAGCGGCAGTATCAGGTGTCACGCTCACTGGCTGACACTAATTCGAGTAGTAGTAGGTAGATGCTTTGTGAACAAGACGTAATAATAAAGAAAAAAGAAAACAAACAGAGAAAGTGAAGGACAGTGAGGAAGCTGCAGCCAACAGAGAGAAGAGAAAAAAAAAAACTATGCTGTTATCTCGCAATCATCATTTTTTTTTTTCCCCTTCACCCGTCACCTGGACGAGAGAAGGAGGAAGGCAGCTGTCCTCAGATAACATAAACAAAGGTGATGCAGAGAGTGAGAGGAAATGCTACAGGAGTAGTGATTAAATCTGTCCTTCACGAAGAGGGGAAATAAATCTGACCAGAAGGGAACAGGAAAGACTACTACAATGGAGACACAGAGACTTTCTCCACCTCTCACTTATCGAAAATATCTTTGCTTCCTCTAAGCTTTTTGGACATTGTGCATGTCCTATTACCATTTATGTCACACAGCTAGACACACTTGTGATGTATTTTCCCCCATAAAATACATCACAACTCTAACAACATCAGAGCTAAACAACCACTTTTTTAGAGGGGTCTGTCTGATTAAATCAAATTGATTTGAGTTTAACAGTATGTGCTCCGTGGGCCCATGAACCAAAATCCACTGGGTATATGAACCCTTTGTCAGCAAGTTTGGATCATTAAAGTTGTTGAAAATCTCTTAAATATATTAAATGCCACACTCAAGATTCAAACATTATAAATATTATAATAATAAATATTAATATTTTCATGTTTTTAAAAGCACCCCACTAAATGTTTCCAGAGTGGGTTGCACAGTTGTTCCTGTCAGCTAAGCTTCTAGAAAATCTGACGTTTTTTTTCCATTTCATATTTAATTCAATACGAGTTTTGATCTTGTGATGAGGCTGTGTAACACAGCAGGTATACCAGGCGCATCGACACACATCTATCAGTTGTTATGATTGTGACACACTGTGTAGTAACGCCTCCAACTGCTCACTATTCAAGGCTGTTGCTGTTTAGCAACCAACTGCAAACCGCAGCTCTGAGGCTCTTTGTCTGTGTGAGGAGATTCATGCAAAAACTTCCACTTGGTAACGTCAAAATGCTGGCCTCATACTGAGATTAAAAAAACCTATCAGCACTACAAGGCTAATAGCTGTAGAATTAGTCAGAAAATTAGTTTTTCCAAGGATTATGTATATTCCTTACTTGTCCTCGTGTTCGTAGATGTTGAGTCCAAGAGCATCCACGCCCAGCCATAGCTGTGTGCCCTTCTTGTTTTTAATCTCAAAGTAGTTGACTCCATACATCTCCAAGTCTTGGGCGATTTTAAGATACTCCATCATTGAGTCCTCTCTAGAGTAGAGAAAAAGAGGCATTATATTATATTATATTATATTATATTATATTATATTATGTTTAGAAATTTAACACAATCACATGTTCAAAACAATAGCATTCAGTTAGCGTACATTTTCTTCTAGAAGAAGAAAAAAAAGCACACATTCGAATTTAAGTTAAGTGGGTTTAAATCTTTGGTACTTTATGGCAAATCCAAACATGTCTACAAGGGTTTCATCATGATAAAGGTCTGACACACACCTGAGCATTCCTCTGTGTTCTTCGTGCCAGGTCTGTATCCTGTCCTCCCATTGCTCCTTAGTCAGCTTGTGCTGCTCCAGGACTCTACACACACACACACACACACACACACAATGATGTTCATCTGAAGGAATGTCAAACAGCACAGAATTGCTTCCTCAAAGAGGAAATCATAAATACTCCAGCAGGCAAAGATATAGATTTTGAAAAATGAAAGTCAAAATCCAGTTACTCTGGCTGACACCAGAATCATTCATATATATATATATATATATATATATATATATATATATATATATATATATATATATATATATATATATATAAAAACTAGAGATGGCACGATACCACTTTTTTATGTCCGATACCGATATGAATCCGATATAGTGTTTTTTTAATCAACAAAACTGTTTTTTTTAAATATCTTGCTGCATTTTGTATAAGTTCATACTCAAGTTTAAAACAACAACTACACTAAAGCTATTCTGTTATACCTGTATGCAAAAAAAAATATTTCATAGTTCAGCAATACTGATCAATCTAATAAACTTAAACCTACACCATCCTCCCTATTCTGGTATTTTAAAGAGTACTTAGCGTAAATATAAAGCAACCTAACTAATAGGGCTCCAACTCCCAGCAACAACAAAAATAAAAAAAATAGGGAACCACCCCTCACGCTCCACCTCATGATGCTTAATCGACGTAATCAACCTTAATTTGATGCAGTGTGAAAAAAAAAATGCAGAAAAATCAATTATTTTTCAAGAAATATTAAATAGATTCAACATCTTTCTTCAACAGAATTGCAGACTGCACAGATGGTACCTTCCCAAAGGACAAAGTACTATAGCTTACTAGGGTATATATATATTAGACTTAATAGTCACTATATACAGTAATTGACTTCTATTCATTTTATATCAAATTAAAACTTTGGGTGTCAGATAATTATTTATTAAAAGCTAGACATTTTAAATGAGAATAAGAAAGAAAAGTATGTCTTTGTGCCCCCCTTTTCCCTGTTAATGCCCTATCGGCCCCCCTGGCTAAACTTTGCTAGATCCGCCCCTGCACAGTTACCAGCGTCAGCTACGTAGAAAAAGATCCTGGTGTAGAAAGTAATATTAAATAAATTTTAACAACAGCTTATCAAGCTTAAACGTGCTGCTGTTGTTTATCCGCTGGTTTCCTCTTTCTGGTGCAAAGTGGGCCAAAAACAAACAAGAGAGACGGACTCGCGACAGAAAAGCCGATCAGCTGATCATTAAGCAGTTTCATGATTGAAGTAGCAGCCGGAGAGCGAGAGGCAGTCGCTCCATATATCGCTTGTTAAGCTTAACGCAGCCGTTCTATCACGTGATGCATACTGCTCCGATGTGCTAACGTTCTGAGGTGAGTTACGGCGTGTTGCAAGTTTTGTGAGGTGCTTTCGTGATATTTAATGGATCGGATTACATTTTTTATTTTTCTCCGATATCCGATCCAGTAATTTAGGTCAGTATCGGACCAATACGTAATATCGGATCGGTCCATCTCTAGTAAAAAATGCTAAACTTTATGTGAAATGCCTACCTCTGAGGGAGCAGTCTGTCATGAGTAAGGTACCCAGCCTTGTGCACCTCTTTGTTATAGTCTCCATACTTGGCCTGGACAGCGTATGAACCCAGCAACACAGCCGTTTCTGGGGGACAGTAGTTCTCATCATTCAGGATGGCCTCTTTCACCTGGCAGAAAAATGTGTGCGTGACTCTAAATGTACTCAAGACTGTAAGATTTAGTTAGCACTTATGCTGAGAACAGAGCAAGCTAGATAATAGTAACATAAAAATGTGATATTTTGAGGTTTTGAAAATAACTGAAAAACTAATTATTTGCTAAAAGTGTTGGTGTCCTGAGTGTGTGGAGTTACCTGCAAGAAGAAGAGTCTCTGGGTGATCTCCTGGATTAGTTCCTCTGAGACATCTTCAGGGAAGAACTTGGCTCTGAACTTAAACTGCAGAGGACTCTCTTTCTTTACATCTTGCTGGGTCACCTGGATTCAAAAAATAATAATTGCTCCATTATGTACTGGAATTTTTCAATACTATTTTTCTGTAGCCTCTGCCTTTTGTCTGTCTTGCTCACATGCTTGTTGAGCATGAGGATATTTTTTTTGTAATGCACACTTGGAAATGTAGAGACACACTGTAATAGCAGGGGTGCTAGGACTGGGGATTGTTTTGGGGTGAGTGAAAGAAGAAGCCTGTTGAAAGACCACATCTGAGGCTTCAGTACCACAGTACTGCTTCTAGGCAAATACCAGACAAACAATAGACACAGACACTGGAGGAAACATGAAAGTGAGAGCTAAAGAGAAAGACCCCGACAAACAATTTAAGAAAATCAGTTGAAGTCCACATGCTTAAATTAATAATAATATTAATAATGGAATTTTGTTTTTAAGCTTCTCCATCAATCCATCTTCTTCCCCTTATCTGGGGCCAGGTCCCGGGGGCAGCAGCCTAAGCAGAGAAGCCCAGACCCCCACCTCACGTCCACCTCCTCTAGCCATTCTGTGGGAACACCAAAGGGTTCCCAGGCCAGCTGAGAAATATAATCTTTCCATTGTGTTCTGGTTCTGCTGTGGGGTCTCCTCCCGGTGGGACATGCCCAGAACACCTCACCCAGGAGGCATTCTAGTCAGAAGCCCGAGCCACCTCAACTGGCTCCTTTCGATTAGGAGGAGCAGCGGCTCTACTCTGATCCCCTCGCAGATGGCCGAAATCCTCACCCTATCCCTAACGGAGAGGCCAGCCATTCTTCGGAGAAAGATCATTTCCGACACTTGTATCTGCGATCTTGTTCTTTCGGTCACTACCCAAAGCTTGTGATGATAGGTGAGGGTAGGGACATAGACCAAGCTTCTACTTTCCCACAAAACAAAGTGATATTTACCTTTTTATTGAGTTTCAGCCATGTGATGTAGCCTTTACTGTCCACATACTGTAGTCCAAAGAACCACACCTCTCGCAGGCCCACAGTCTTTACCACCTAAAAGCAAAAAAAAAAGAAAAATGGATTTTCACAGTTTATTCTTCCTTTAGATAGCGTTTTTTCTTTGATGTCTGAGAAGTACAAATCTGTGATCTGTGGTAAGTGGCAGAGACATTTAAGAGAGAAGGGAGGCGACTGTTAGAACGTAAAGAAATCATATTTATCTTCTGCCTGTTTAACAAACTGTTATAGGGAGCGTTTTTGATTTCATTTCTTATTATTCTGGCACTGACTAAACTCTTTCTGAAGGCACCAAAAATTCCTGTGCTGGGAGGTGGGGACTGACAGCATAAGAATACAGGAAACAAAGTGTCAACTTCTCAAGCACCCACACTCCTACGTGCCAGGTTTCTGTCCTCACAATACTTTTTTTGCTCACCTGGTCAAACAGCTGTTTTCCTGTGGTATTTGGCTGGATTGCAAACTCCAACTCTGCATCCATGGTGGTCACACGGACATTGATCTAGGGGGGGGGAAAAAAGAAAAAAAGGGGAGGAAGTTCACTTTGCTTGCAAATATTACACAAGTGAAGACATGAAAATAAGTTGCAATTATTCATGTGTGCGTGTTATTCCCTTTTTTCTGCTCCTGTTTTAGGCAGTTAAATACCACTTAAACCTATAAGTTTGGACAAATACTTTAACTGCAAGAACAGGTCAAGAATCCCTAAAGAACAATTTTTTTTAAGCGTGTTACGGACAGATGAGAGTCAGAGGAACTCACGAAGCACTAGGGAGGTGGGAAAAAAAGCATATCTATCTATATTTATCCAATCAACCAGTCTTCTGAAAGACTGCTTCTTCAAACTGTTGTACAAAAAGTGTGCAACATTCAAAGAATTTATGCACTTTATGCGCACACTTCATCTCATGTGCCTGACTATGCCACTAGTCTAAACTAGTCAGCAAAGCAATCGAATGATAACTTGATCCACTTGCGTTCATGATTTAAATCCTACTGAAAACTTGTGCTACCATCTTAAGTGAGAGATTCACACGAAGGGAAAACTGTACACTACTTTAAACAGATGGAAGTTGAATACTGGTTGTGATAAAGTGAGGTGGCTCACAAAACACTGAGGCAATACTGGCAAAAAGTATTTTTTTTATACAACCTTTACTTTTCACACAATAGTTATGGTTCTCTTAGAATACAGGATGTGGTGCACTGCATGTATGCACCAGTACTACTGACAACTCATGTCAAGTGCTGCTGTCCAACTTTTCCTCAGTTGAGCAAAAATATTCCAGGAAATTGCAGAATTTCTAAAGAGGACAATAGAAGAACATTTTCCCCCATATGTGGGCAATGTGTCAGATCCTTTCAATCCTACCCTCTGAAGCCACACTTTTTCAAGGCAAAGACCTCTGTTGGGGTGGAGCAGAGGATAAAACTCAGTCATTGGCTGTTCCTCTTTAAGCAGCACTGGCAGTAGGCCTAGAAGCAGCTGATGGCACAGAACAGAGCATGGTTGACCTCCGTGGCATCTGACATCCTTCCTCCCACACCTACTCATACATTGAGCCGTGCATTGCCTCAGTGGTAGTTAACAGGACGAGAAGAGAGACGGAGGAAAACACAGAGTAAAGAGGAAGACGAGAAGCAAGCTGAGAGGCGGGGTGCAAAAAGCAAAGTTTAGCAAGAGCGTGAAGGGAGGAGAGAAAAGAAAAAAAAAAAAGAGCGTGGCTATGAAGCGCAACAGGAAGTTTGAGAGATGATCTGGGGTATACTCCTTTCGACATTAAATTACAGCGTTGTTGCTGTAGATGAAGAAGAAGAAGAAACTGAGGGAATGAACCATCCTTTTCCTCTCAGTACTTATATATAAAACCTCAGGAATGCTTACTTTGCATTCCTTTTTCTCCCCTCTTGTTTTTGACACACTCTCCTGCCTTCATCTTTTTCACTCAATATCCCTGCAATGAATAATCCATGAAACCAGCACATAACTGGACCCCCACATGGAACTCAGCCCATAATGTATCTTGCTGGATCACCACATTAATTACCCAATAAATACTGCAGGACATGCCCACAATATAGATATCTTGCATGATGTTTTGTTGCACTAAAACACAAATTTAGTCTGCTTTGCACTGAAAATTTACTTGGTTGTTGCTAAAGATGCATTCAAGGAGGATTTTGCATATGTATGCAGAATCCTCTGGCTTCTACTGCCACAATTAGGCGATAACGTATCTAAAAGCTGCTTGACAACCACAATTAAACAACAAAAACTAAAGGAGCATGTGCTACTGACTTCCAGGGGTCAGACCAGTAAAACATGCAAATCACAGTGAGATTGCTTATTGCTGTACAAACAGGTAAAATTTCAAATCCAGCCTTCAAAAATTATTGTGTGGAGTGAAAAGTCTTTATCACTACTATCCTAGACTACAGATGAAACATGAAGAGAAGCTCTGAATGGGACTTGACTATGTTTAGTGACTGAATTAAGATTATAAGTTCACAAATCACATCCATCCTTTTCTTCTTTTGTGGTTGCGGCTTGAAATTTATGGAACGTGAAATGTCTGTGCTGCAGTTCATTGAGTTTTCTATTGACACCGGGGGAAGTGTTTTCAGTCCAAAATACAAAATCCATCACGAGAGGGAAGAGAAAAAACAAAACAAACAAAAAACAAATAGACTCCAACAAGCTGAGAACACAGTTCAGTTCAATTTCATTTATATAGCACTAAATCACAACAACAGTCACCTCGACTTCCTTGAGGCGACTGTTGCCGAGCCTCTCAGCTGGCTTGGGAAGCTAGACTACACTGATGACCATTTACATATTATGGCACAGGAGGGTAACAATAAGACAAGGAAGGAAGACACCAGAAACACATGTTTACCAGAATAAAGCAAAAAAAATGACCCAAAACATGAATTAAGAGGGGGGATAACACAGGAAATACTGAAGGGATGAGCAGAATTCTAAAATTCCAATTAGTAGCTAGAACAAAACAACAACCAGGCAAAAATAAGAAACGTGAAATCTACACAGAGCACTTAAAAATAAGAATATCAAACTAAAAGATCAGTATTTTAATAGGAGAATACGGAGGGATTCAGGGATGCTTTATGAATGGGGTCACTATGGGAACTTGACACCAATGGCTGGGATCCAATAACATAAGCTACTTATGACACCACAACCCTGTCAACATTTCAATGTAGACACTAAGGATAATATTACATGAAACAGGGGCTACTGATATCCAGCTCTTTACCTTGCTTGGCTTTGCTTAAATGCAGATACTTCAAACAATAGTCGGTGTTGGGAAGGTTACTTTTAAAATGTATTCTACTACAGATGACATGCCGCAAAATGTATTTTGTAACGAGGAAAACACGAACACAGTGTACAGTCGAGTCTTAATAGCTTACTTACAACTGGGCTACACTGCCCGTGAGGCTACATTCTTTGAGGCTATGCCTGTAACACTTTGCCTATTGCATTCATATTAAATAATTTTTTGAACAATAATTCAACAAAAACAAAAACCCAACTTCTTCACGTCATTATGTGGGCTGCAAGTAGAGGTGACATGGGCTGTGAGATTGAGACACAGGCATTAGAGCCTCTTAATGCGTGTTTTGTTTGGGTTGCCACTGGCGTGGAATTACCAAAACTAGAGGGGACAGCCTAACATATGAAACAGGAAAAGACCGCTGTGTAATCCATTTATTGAGTACCACATTTTTAAACTGTAACTGTAACGGAATAGTTACTCATATTTTGTATTTTAAATACGTAACGCCGGTACTTGTATTCCATTACTCCCCAACACTGACAATAGTAAAAGACTGAAGATAACTCAATTTTAAAACAAACTAATGTGGACATACTGAGGTTAAGAGTTTTAAAAGATGAAAAAGAAACAAGAACACTCACTGATTTTTTTGATGTACTGTTTACTTCTGTGTGCCTGTCGATCTGATCTCCCTTATAAAATAACCTTTGTATAACAATAACCTCTTCCAGTTACTGAACATCAATTGCATTTGGATAACTGTAACTAACTAGTCAAGTAAGATTTGGATCTACTCTTGCAGGTGCACAGATCTAGCCACAAACAAGGTAACCACAGCAACATAATCTATTCATGGTTCACTGAATATAAACTTTGTGTTGATTTCACTGCCTTGGTGACTTTATAAGAAAAGTTATACAGAATGTAGTGCTAAGTTTGAGTTTCCAAAGGACTGGAATAGACTGCGAGTTGTCCTCTGTTTTTGTGGGGCCCGCCATCAGCCACGATAGAGCCAACCTTTGTGCTACGCGTGTGTGTGTGTGTGTGTGTGTGTGTGTAAACATAGCAAACCCACAGGGCGGAAAGAGGTGGAATCCTTTATGAACCAGACGGTTAGTTAATCCTGTCTCTTGTACAGAGTGGGGGGGAGGAGAAGAGGGACAGCAACATGCCAAAGCAATGACACAGCTAATCAGACACTGACAACTGACATGCCTTGAAGGAGTGACTTTTGCAAGCCTGTCCTTAAACAACACTATTTGGTGACACAAGATACGCTGACTGGGCAACCTGTCCTTAAAAGGACAGTGTTAGGCATTTGAGGAAAGACCTGGAATGGGAATAAATTCCAAAAAAAGGACATTCACAACAATCAACACAACAATCCAGGTACTCAATTCCATCACACTGCCATAAGAGGATGCCTTGCAAGCATGTGAACTGACAGGCCTTGAAAGTTCCTAAAAGCACAACATAAACACTAAAATTAGTATGACACTGGATATCCTCTTGATGAGTCAAGTTCCAGTTGGAGCCCGACATATCTCAGAAGCAGTTCCAACATCTAGCGGAAAGATTTTAGAAGCTTCCAGTAAATGTTATACTGGAAGTACTAATACTCTCATCATTCCTTCTTTTCACTTCTCTTTCTTACTACTGACCTAAAAATATTAACTACTAATTTTACTTGTGTTAAGAGGAGCCAATAATGAAATAAATGATAAACTGGTACACTGACACTAGCTTTAACCTCAGTGCACAGCGTCCTTCTGCACAGATGGACAGAGAAAGATCTGCCTGAGGTTGGACAGCAAAATCTTGTGGAACAATGTTGGCTAAAGATTTTCTTATTCAGGAAGAAAGGGGGGGAAACAAAACAAAAGTGGCTTAAGTGGTCTAGAAAATTGAAAAATGTATATAATTGGAAGTAAAGTGTGGTGATCACTGTTGTGATTTCCCCATTAAAACCCCCCCCAAAAAGATCCAAAAATCAATCTATAATCCAATCATGAAAACTTTCCAGATATCAGAACAGGCAAATATACAAGTCAAGCAATCAGCTGGGAGTAACCAGCTGACCTAATCAGTTGTGTCAAAAAAGTCACAATGCTTATTGTCCACACTGAGACCAAGATTATTTGACAGAATAATTCAGCTTTTGGGAAAATTGTACAAATATTTAACTTGACTCATATTTATTGAA